TTGTCGATGGACTTTTATTTAGTTAATTAATTAATTTACATGTGTTGTTGAGAAGCAAACTTAGTGCCTCACACTCAGTAGGTGAGCGAGCGCTCTACCCCTGAGCCCCAACCCTAGCCCTCTTTATTGCCATCTGGTTTGACCTTTCCTTTATGTAGAGCCCAGCTGCTGACAAATGCTTTCATTTCATTGTTGTTTAATGGTTTTGTCACTTTTATTTTCAAATTGCTTCTTAGAAACTAATCACCTGTCCTTTTCCCCAAATTCTGTGCAAATCGTGGGTGGGGAAAGTTATGAGAAATGTTCTGTTTTCTAACTAAAACAAAACAAAACAGTTTTCTGCTTTTTGAGATTCCAGGAATACATAGGCTGAACAGTGAGTCCTCATGCATCTCCTTCTTTTCCAGACTCTTTACCTGTTGGTTTATAGGAACAGGATTGTCACTTATGGGTGAGTTGGAGTCTTGAGGTCACACTGGCATGAGGAACAGTGGAGGTGGAGGGCTTGCTTTTCAACGGGAGTTGAGTCTGCTCTGCTGGTCTCGGCCCAGCTTCTCTGGCCTGCCTGCTTTCCTTTGTGACTTTACTATATTGTTTTCAAACAAGATCTGTTTCTTTCCTTGACTCACTGCAGAGGGAAGACTGACCACATTTCCCACCAGTTTGTTTTTGAAACAAGCATTTGCTCATTTTCAGTTTAAAAAAAGATTTACTGATAACAGGAAAAAAAAAAAAAAAACCTCCCAAAATTCATAAGAACAAACTAGAAGAGAAATTCTAAGTTTCAAAACTCTCAGAAGCTTCTAGATGGAATTCCTTCCAGTTTCTTGGTGTAAGTGGTGCTAGACTAGTGGTTTCTGTCTTACAAACAAAGCCTATCAGCCTTCCTGTGATGTGGCTGCAGTCTGTTTCTGATCTGGCTCTTCTTTTTTGTCTGGCCGCTGACTTACCTTTACCCTTTCCTCCCTGCCTCCCTCCCTTCTTTTCTATTCCATTTATTCCTATTATTATTTTTCCTACCTAGACCTTTTATAAATCACTATAATAGTGGTTTAGATTATCATTTGGTTTACTTTTGTTCGTGAATCACAGAAAATTCAACTCTGGCTAGCCTGGGTAGGAAGGAAATTTTCTGGCACATGTAATTGAAAAGGCCGTTGTTAGACTGGGCACTTCACTGATACTACCAGGGACCCAGTTTCTTTATTTTTGTCTTCTGCAGTGTTGGCTTCATGACCCTTTTCTAGGGTGTAGGGTGATTTCTGCAGCAGATAGACAGTTATAATTTCTTAAACTGTGTTCATAGGGAAAGAATGAATTTCTTCTCAACCATCAAATAAAAATCCTAAACTTTTTGTCAGTGGCTTAGCATTACCCAGTTTCTCTGGCCAAGGAAGAGTCTTGTGCCTGTGGATTGGTCTGGATGAGAGCAGAAAAATAAGAAACTGGATCTTTGGTGACATCAGTGAGCTACTGCTTGCCTGAGACAGCACAGAGCCAGGGACTGTACCTGTGGAGGAAGTACACAGTGGGCATGCGAGATGCAGCTCCAGGATCCACTGTAACTGTGCCTTTGGCTACATAAAGGAGTGAAGTATTTGTTCATATTACACAACAGAATTTAAGAAGGGACTTGGTAATATCCTGTATGAGCAAGATAAGAATTACTAAGAGATTATCACCCTTTGTTTGGCTTTTGTGGCAGTATCATTCACAAAATTGAAGCCACAACTTGCATTTGTCAACAGACAAACGTGTGCACACACGTACACAGGCATATTATTCAAAAAATGAAGAAAGAGGTTTATGCTGCAAGAATAACAACAGGACAGTATGTGCTTTACCCATTTGGCCTCGTTTGCTTTCTGCCTGTACTTATCTGTCTACATGTACGTTCTTTTTCTGAATCATTTGAGAACAAGTTCCATACATCATGGTCCTTTACCCCTAAATACTTGATATGGGTTTCCTAAGAATAAGGAACTACAGTACAGTTATCAGCATCAGGAATTTTAACATTGCTGTTATCTACAAGATTTTAAATGGATTCAATAATGTCCTTAATGAATGAAAGAAAGGAATACCTCTGAGATCCCTGCACTTAAAGGTTGATTGCAACATATTCACAGTAGCCAAGATATTGAAACAACCTAAGTGTCTGTCAGCAAATGAGTGGGAATACACACACACACACACACACACACACGAATATTTATCCCTGAAAAAGAAGAACATCCTGCCATTTGCAATAAAACAGGTGAACATGGAGGACCGTATGCTAAGTAAACTAAGCCAGGCTCAGCAAGACAAATGCTGCATGATCTCTCTTGAAATGGAGGATTTTAGTAGGCTTCTTAGAAGCAGAGAAGAGAATGATGGTTACTAGGGTGCTGGGGGGAAAGGATGGTATCAATCAGAAGATACAAAGTTTTAGTTTTGTAGAATGACTAAGTTCTAGAAATGTTAAGTACAAGGTGAGGACTGTAGTTAATAATACTATATGCGTTTACACTAGAATTTGCTGAGAGAGTACTTTTAGGTATTCTTACCCCCAAAATGGTAACTATACGAAGAGATGGATGGGTTAATTAGTTTGATCATAAACAGTTAACTGTATCAAAACACTCTTCCAACGTATCACACTCTTCATCTTTAAGCAATTTCAACTGTAAAAGAAAGTTCTTTATGGTACTGTTCTCCTTCAGTGTGAGATCCCGTGTTTTAGGTATTTCAGCAGTTAGTTATCTATGCCTCTTAGAGCTTTCTTTCATCCCAACATTTTCTTAGTTTTTCTTTCTTTTTTGGCATTGACATTATTGAAGAATATAGTCTCTTTCCCCTTTATAAAACAACATTACTCACACTTGTTGACTATTTTTCTGGAGTTATATATCATTGTTATATGATGTCTATATGAGAAGAAAGGGTACCGTAGAGTCGAGGGGACACAGCTGGCTCCTGGATGCACTCGGTGTTTGGATTGGGAGGGAATGGGAGAGTGGTCGGCACTGTGGCACCACCCTCTTTTCTGCTTCCTTTTATCTTCCCTCACCAAGCTTGGGCTCTTCTCTGACACATCCCACCATGTCCTCCACAGACCTGGCTTAGTGTTGTGGAGTGAAAAGTGAGGTGTCAGGCATTAATGGGCACACAGCCCTGGATAGGGTGCAGCTGCAGTCGTGAAGGATAGAGAGGGTGGGGATGAGGGGGTGGAAGGTGGCACCTGCCTTAGTCTGGGACCTTCAGAGTGACATGTTGGTCTCTGGGAGTTAGGTGAACTAGACTTCTGCATGGGATTCTTAGCCTCTGTTGCTGAGAAAAGAGTTGAACTGTATGTCTCGAGGGCCTGAGGGGTTTGAAGAAGTAGATGCCAGGTGTGGGGCAGAAGCAGTGACTGTTGGGGCTTTGGTTCAGCAGCTAGTGAGCAGATTACTTCTCATAAGGAACATAGTTTTGTTGATCCGGGGAATATAGCTGCTTGTTAATGCCTCTCGAAGCGCTCTTACTGTGCCTGCACCTTCCTCTGAGAAAGATGGTGAGACCCCTGTGCTCTGCAGGCCCTGCCCTGCCCTGTTGTGGTCTGCAGCATGAGGTGTCCCAAGCCACATCCTTGAGATGGCACTTTGTACTGGCTGGATGTTGAATTTTTATTTATATATATATATATATATATATATATATATATATATATATGTATATGTGTGTGTGTATATATATATATATGTTTTTTTAGTTATAGTTGAACACAATACCTTTATTTATTTATTTTTTTAATATGGTGCTGAGAATTGAACCCAGGGCCTCACACATGCTAGGCAAGTGCTCTACCACTGAGCCACAGCCCCAGCCCTGGATGTTGAATTTTTGTCAATCAGAATTTGGTATTGTGCCTAGGCATGAAAGAAACTATACTTGAGGCTTCTTGTTGGATTAGGTACAACAACTTAATCACATTTTTGTACCCTGGTTATAAATTTAACATGTTAAGAAGAGTCACAGGTTTTGTTTGTCAGAGAAAGAAGATCTGGATTCTTCTTTCAGTTTCAGAATGACAGCAATGAACCCTTAAGCAGGGTAAGGGAGGACATACCCATCTAAGGGGCAAGTCAGTCCTGCCTATTGATGAACTTTCTCACACAGATTTGAAACCCTAGCCTTCTGTAAAAAAAAGACTCAATTTTTACTTTATCATTTTGCATAATGAAATTTGTGTAAAAACTATGAGATATGCAAGAGTGCTTAGGTAACTTGAAAAAATTTTCATTTCACAGAATGGCATTCTTTATTTTAATTTATCTGGGGTATATTTAGTTTTAAAGATACATATCTAAATCATCGGTCAGTTCTGTAGTGTGGTATATTGTCAATTGCGTGAACATCTGCATTCATGGCCTTTTGATAAAATGACATCATTGGATGAGGTGTTGTGATCTCTTCTGTGGTGTGGGCACAGTATTAAGTCCTTCCCTTATATTGTGTCGTTATCTTATCAATAACATCATAGAGATTTACTGATAATGTATTTGTATATATTTACATATGTTATATATACAAGTATCTTTAATAAGGCATTATGCTGTGCATATTTTCTTTTAAAGGGGTAGTATGTTCTATTTCAGTAATACAATAATCTTAATGGATTTAAGAATTAGAATACAGGTAGCTACACCATAATTCATTCAGCTAATTTTCAATGAATTGATTTTAAAGTTATTTCTTGTTTTAAGTAATAATGCAGCAACACCTGTTCAAGTACTTACAACTGTGCAGAAGTCTGATTCATTCTTTTAGAAAAGTTTCTCAGTAGAGGTTTGCTGGGTCACATATAGAATGCTTGACTTTTAAAACGATCTTCTTAGATCAAGAGAAAACTAAAACAATTCTAGGAAGAGTTTGAAATGGCCCCTAGGAGTGATATTCTGATGTTTCTCTTGTTTCCATGCTTTCTTTTGTTTTAACCCTGCATGGTTGTGTAATGGTATTCTTTTTCCCTTTTGTAGTAAGCTGTGCTAGGACAAAAATGCAATGAAAGAAACACTGGATGAATGAAAAGCCCTGCTTTGCAACCCCTCAGCATGGCAGGCCTGCAGCTCATGACCCCTGCTTCCTCACCAATGGGTCCTTTCTTTGGACTGCCATGGCAACAAGAAGCAATTCATGATAACATTTATACGCCAAGAAAATATCAGGTACTAATGAAAACACTAATACTGGAGCATTTTTCACTAAAATGGAATAAATTAGCATATAGTTGACACAACTTATAAAACTCATTTACCCTTTCTAGCCTCCCTCTTCTGATTAATTTTCTCATTTGAAACACTTTTGTTCTTAATAGTCCTTTTCTTTTCTAACGTCTGCTGGGTAATTGATTTGTTCTATTTATGAAATTCCTCATCCCCACATACCCCCGTAACCTCACTGTTCCTTAATGTCCATTTGGGCGTGTCTCTCCTAATGAGCTGGGCAGGAGCTGAGGTTGGTTTCCTAGTGCTCAGTTGTGCATGGGCAGAAGCACAGTTACTGTGAGTTTAGTCAGTTGTATTATTCTACCGAAGTAGTCTGTGCAAAAATAGTTCTTAAATTAAATGCCATTTCAGCATCTATTTATACAGCACAGTTATGTATTGCAGGCATTTTATTCCTCTGTTATTCTTGTATAAAGGTGTAGAAAGTTTATTTTGGGGAAAAATACTAGAGGAAGATTTTAGAAAATGCTGAACTTTCCTAATTTAAAAACCTAATTTTCTAAATTTTGTCCTTAGGTTAGGAAATGTATAATCTTGTTTTCCACCATATTTCTAGGTTGAACTGCTTGAGGCAGCTCTGGATCATAATACCATCGTCTGTTTGAACACTGGCTCAGGGAAGACATTTATTGCAGTACTACTCACTAAAGAGCTGTCCTATCAGATCAGGGGAGACTTCAACAGAAATGGAAAAAGGACCGTATTCTTGGTCAACTCTGGTAATAAAAATTTATTTTATCAAATGGTGTGGAAGAGATTGGAAGAGAGTTTTATGTTAAAGCAGAGTATCTCTGTGGATGTTAAGTTAAGGTATTGAAGGTGAAGAGAGTTTGACAAATGTGCTTATTGAAGCTCTGCTAGCAGAAATATTTTCTTTATAGTATTTCTCTGATTTGTTTTATTGTTGTATATCTTTTGAACGAATTAGCTTTTGGAACATAATTTGTTATAGTAATTTTCATCCTTTATGTTTTAGCTTCACAAAATATGTTAAAAGATGCTTGGATATCTTTTTGATTTGTGATTTGGCTATGCCCAGTTATAGGAAGAAAGTTATATGCTCTTAGATACTCAGTATGAGTTTAAAATACTGGTTTTATATGTTTGAGATTATATATCAAAATTAAAATTATCAAGTATGCATCTAAGCTAATAGACTCCTGAAGGACCACTGCCACTCCTCATCCTTGCTTTTGAGGCTGTCAGCATAGCTCTGTTCTGAGTACACATGAGACTGTCTTATTTCTTGGTGAAAATGCCCAGTGTTGTTGAGGGCAGAAGGGGTGGATCTAAAGTGGTTGCCACTCCAGCCTGGAAGGGAAAGTCTGAGGTTGGAGGGAATCTACCAAAACGAAGCAAGGTGGTGTAAGGGCCCCTGGAGTGAGTGGCAGAGGGCCAGGTGGGGAGTCTTGCTAAGTGCCTGTTGGAGGGGATTTTGACACTGTGATTATGAATTGGGCTGTTTAAAAACTGGTGGCTAAGTGTGATGGATGACCATGAGTGTTTCTGTGACTGTCTCAATCATTAGTAGACCAGAAAGCCAATGAAGCAAAGTTTCTTATACTTACATGGAGTGTTGTATTTGTACTCAGCAAACCAGGTTGCTCAACAAGTATCAGCTGTCAGAACTCATTCCGATCTCAAGGTTGGGGAATACTCAAACCTAGAAGTAAATGCGTCTTGGACAAAAGAGAGATGGAACCAAGAGTTTACTAAGCACCAGGTAAGACTTGTAGAGAAATTTCATTTTATAAATCCTACAAGTACTTGACTTGGTTTATAAGATGACCTGTAGCCTTGATTGTCTGAATTAGGTTTGAAAATTTCACTTTCCTGCTTCTTCTCAGCCTAGGGACCAGCCCTTGGGCTCTTTCTTTCATTGTAAGGCTCATCTGAAAAGAAACCAAATTACTAATTTGTGTTGCTTTTAATATGTAGAAAAGAAACTGCTTTCCTTGACTTGTACTTACTTGAAACACACAAGTTCGAGTGACCTGTTTCTGACTTGCAGATAACCTGCTTTCAGGAGACTGCTCTTTAGTTAAATGTATTGACTGGAGAAATTTTTTGGTTGAGGGCTTTGGATCTTTGATGGATACTCCCTCTGAGGTCCATGCTTTGTCAAGTAGCCAGCCTATTCTGAGGGCCTTTTGTGTGTGACACTGGTGACATAGAGTGATTAAGAGATGCTTCCTAACTAACTTTAAACAGCCCATTGCATACTTTTATCTCACATATTGGACTAAAGCCTTATAAATAAAGCCCTACGGTACACAGAACTGTAGACTATGAACAGACATTCGGACTTCCAGACAAACTTATCAGTTCTGTGGGGGGAAACTTAGAAGCCATGTGAAATGTTTCTGTGATTTAACTAAATTGACAGATTTTATCAGTGAGGATATGGCTATAGGAACCTTAAAACACCTGAAGGTCTCTTATCAGGAGGTTTTTCTCATAATTTTTTGCCCTTTTTTTCCTAATTTACTTTTTGGTTCCAATGCATGAAATTCTATACATTTAGAATTTTTGTTCTAATTTTCAACTAAAAAATTTCTTATTCCTCACATATAATGCAATGGCTCTGTGATCTGAGCTCATAAGTATATCCAAGCAGGTAAATGGCATATTGATGTATTAATATCAATTTTATTTTAGGTTCTCATTATGACTTGCTATGTCGCCTTGAATGTTTTGAAAAATGGCTTCTTATCACTGTCGGACATTAACTTGTTGGTGTTTGATGAGTGTCATCTTGCCATTCTGGATCACCCCTATCGAGAAATTATGAAGGTAAATTTTTAGACTTTTTATCAGTCCTCACAATTCCTGATAAAACTTGAGTATATGCAGCTTTACTTTTAGGTATAAAAGCTAATAATACTAGTTAACAATATGGAGAACTTGGTTCCAGTGAATGAATGACTGATTATTAATGTTTTTATAAATCTATAATGTTTTAAACATTATACTGCAAATGAATTACATATAATAATCTTGTAGCATATCTAATATACTTTTTGAAAAAACAGATCTTTTAAACACACCACAGTAATTCTATAATTTTGCTGTTCTTGGTATATTGATGTTTCCACTGACAAATTGTTTTTTAGTATTTGTCAGTGATTTTTTTTTCTTTTTTTTTTTTTTGGTTTTTGGTATTTATTTATTATTTTTTTTCTCTTTCAATTTTTTTTATTAATTGCTCAAGACAATACAATGATCTTGACATCATACATTTGATTCAAATAGGGTATGAATTCTCATTTTTCCACGTGTACAGATTGCAGGATCACATTGGTTATACATCCATGTGTATACATACAGCAATCCTAGTGTCAGTTGTATTCTGCTGCCCCCCCTCCTCCCCTCCCCTCCCATCACTATTCTCTATCCATTCTACTGTGACACTTATCTCTCTCTCTCTCTCTCTCTCTCTCTCTTTTTTTCCTTTCCTTCCTCCTCACACCATCATATATGTGTTTTGTGAACCCATAAGGGTCTTCTTCAGTGATTTTGATGTTTTCATATGACAGTGTCTCTGGTCATGGCCTTGCAAAATGAAGTCTTTATTGTTAGTATCTTTTATTATGTTAGCTCTGTGAAAATTGTCCATCATGTCCTCGAATTTTGGGACTAACTGCTTCCATTTTAAATGGGAAATGTGATCCAGAGGAATTAGAAGAAAAGATTCAGAAACTGGAGAAAATCCTTAAGAGTAATGCTGAAACTGCCACTGACCTGGTGGTCTTAGACAGGTAAGCACTTCTAATTGGCTTGGCTTTAGGAGACTAGTTATGTCTAATAGTAAGCCCTTAGTATCCTTTGTAATGCCTGGTGGACAGCACCTGTGTCTGCCAACAGGCAGCTGTTAAAAGTAGTGAGACAGACTAAGCGTTCTTTGTAAGTACTTGCCAGTTCCAGAAACTCACCTTATTAGCCCAGAGAGCAGCAGGTGGAGGCGCATCTGCATTGAGAGAGGACGTTGCATGAGCATCAGGCCTTCCCCGCCCTGGGGCCACTAAAGACTGGGCAGCAAAACAGGTTCTCCTCTGTTGCTGTGCTTTGTTGTTCTGACCTTGAGTCTCACAGGATGCTTTGAAAGAACATTAATTTTTTGAGAGAATTGAGCAATATACTTTAAAATATTTGGAAACACCCTTTTGTTTTTAAAATGATTTGCAGATTTCTGAGAAATGTAGGGTTTCTGATTTGTAGGGTTGTCTCCTTGAGGAGGTTACTATTTTGAGTTTCAGTAATCTACACACAGGAATGCACACACACAACCTTAATGATGTGCTTAAATTGGTGGAAGAAAACATATATAAATTAGTAGGGAAATGGGTTTTTAGGTAATTATAACTAATGCAGTTCATAAAGTTTTAAACAAGCCTAAGTAGATTACCAAGTGGTGATTTTGTTTTTTGGTACCGGTGATTGAACTGAGGGGCACTTTACCACTGAACCACATCACATCCCCAGACCTTTTTAAGAATTTTTAATTTTGAGACAGGGTCTCAATCAGTCACTTAGAGCCTCATTAATTTCCTGAGGCTGGCCTCAAACTTGCTATTCTCCTGCCTCAGCTTCCCAAGTCACTGGGAATACAGGTGTTTGCCATCATGTCCGCCCAACTGGTGATTTTTAGGGTAGTTATGATAAATAAAAAAAGACTGATTTCTCTGGTTATGGATTTGAGTCTGACATGGGTTTGATTTCTTGCTCCACTGATTGTAAGCTGTGCGATCTCAGGCTGGTCACTTCCCTGTAGTGTAAAATGGCACTGACAGTGGTTTCATGGGATTCTTCAATGATCACGTCAGTGCCATTTTACATTACACTCACTGTCACATTGTAGTGTGCCTGGCATTTAGTGGAGATTTGGGAATTTCTCTGTAGAGTAAGAGGGAGAGATAACAGTTTGGATCTTGGGCTGATGTATCCAAATGCCGTATGAAATACAAACCTGTGGCCTTTAGGCTCTTCTGTTTTTGAGTTTCCTGAGTGTGAGCTATGATTAGAAGTAAAAGGCTGGGGCTGGGATTGTGGCTCCTCGTCGGAGCGCTCGCCCAGCACGGGCGGGACCTGGGTTCGATCCTCAGCACCACATAAAAATAAAGGCATTGTGTTGTGTCCATCTACACCTAAAAAAAAAAATATATTAAAAAAAAAAAAAAGAAAAAGTGTGCTTTTCTCAGACCTGAATTTTTTTGCTTGGCCTGGTGTAGTGGAAGTTTTTGGGAGAAGGAGCCTATTAGAGCATTTAAGTAATAGCTACTAAGTGATTCTAGGAGTTTGCAGCCATTTTTGAATGTTTGTGGTTTTTAATTTACCTATTTTTTCAAACTTTAGTTAAGTATACATTCTGATTTTGGTTAAGTGAAGAGTATAGTATTTAAATATGTCTTTACTGTGTCTTTCTGAAGTGAAACAATTGTGTGTGCTGATAGGATATCATGCCATTCATAGTTTATGAAAGGCAGGACAGAGCCAAAGAAATCAGAAATGAGTGAAAACTGGGGGCCAGGAGGGGGTTCCTTTATGAGGATACATTAAAAATTAAAATTGACTTTTGGAAATGTTAATTTCAGAAACTTCCCTCGTTGACTTATCCCCCCTTTTCTGTTTCAACTTCTGAAAAGGAATTGTTCTGAGTTCATGAGTACTTTGAACATTTTTTGTTCCTTATTCTGGCTGATAACTAAGGGAACAAATGATGGAATCTAATCCCCAAAACAAAACCAGAAAAACCTGGGATGATAATGAAGTCTATCCACAGAGTTCTTTGAACACCAGCCTTATGCCATTGTTCCTTGTGACCTTAACAGGCCAACGTGGTACAGATAAAAGGCACTTCCTAGTGCCACTCTGAAGGCTCTCCGTGAGTCGGCCTCTGGCCCACGTGGAGATACAAACTGAAACTAGTTAGATGTGTAATGTCCTACTGGTTTTTAAAAATGAAGCAGAGGGTGTTTGGGGAAGAGTGCGGGGCCTGAATGAAAGAGTCTTTCAGAGGAAGGCCATCCTGAGTTTTGGTAGAAACACTGAGTGCCTTTGAACTCTCATTTCCTTCATAATCCTGTGTGAGGATTAAAATGAAGGTTAGGACAGGTTCTGGCATAAGGCTCACATTGTAGTAGATGCCTGGTTTGTGTTCTCTTTTTCCCTCCTCTTCCCTTCCTTTGGAAAATGTATTATAAACAATGACCTACCAGTTTGCAAATAATGTTACACATTTTCTGTGGAGAAATTGAGTAATACAGAAAAATACTAAAACAGCTACCTATAGACTTATATCATTGCCAACATTTTAGAATATCTCTTAATATCTATACTCTTGTCCTTGTTTTAGAAAAAGTTTTTAAGGTTTTTTGTTTTTTTTTATTGTGACATTGACAACCTGTTTCTGATCTTAAAGGTATACTTCTCAGCCATGTGAGATTGTGGTAGATTGTGGACCATTTATTGACAGAAGTGGGCTTTATGAAAGACTGCTGATGGAATTAGAGGAAGCACTTAATTTTATCAATGACTGTAATATATCTGTACATTCAAAAGAAAGAGATTCTACTTTAATTTCTAAACAGGTAAGCAAATACAAAGTATAATGTAAAAACTTCTGTTTATAATATTGAAATGAAGATATGCTTCTTAGAAACAAGAGGCTGCTTTCTATATATTTTAAAGTCTCATCTCCTTGGACATTTTTCATTGAACATGTCATGTTGAATTGAAGATTGAGTTTACCTGATAGTTATTTACTTACTTATACTTACTTATTAACTTTCTGTGGTACTGAGGATTGAACCCAGGGCCTCACACATGCTGGGCAAGTGTTCTGCTGCTAAGCTACAATTCCCTAGACCTTCTTACTTTATATGAAGACAGGTCTTTCAAAAAGACAGGTTTTTGCTGGGTTGTCCATGCTGGTCCCCAACTCCATCCTTCTGCCTTAACCTGAGAAGCTGGGATTAAAGGCTTGTACCTCTGCATCTGGCCAGATATGTATATTTTTAAGCCTGATCCTCCCTGATTGAAGGGATGAGGTAGATTCCAAAGCATGGTTATTTAAGTGAAAGGAGTGAGCCCAATTTTTTGTTTTGTTTTGTTTTTGTTCAAGTGAGTTAGTTCCTGCTCCAACCCTTGAACATAGGAATTCTCCCACTGTTTCCTGGTGTCCGACTGGACATAAGCCTGTCATCCTGAGTGCTGAGTAGTACAGCTTGAGAGAGAGCCTTTAGGGAGGTGGTCTTAATGAGCTCCACGTGGGTGATACTAATATCCCATTCCCTAGTTTGTTAGAAATGCAAGTTGTGCCCCCCTCCACCTGCTTAATCAACCTAGATCTGATCCCCAAAACCGAGTTTTGATTTTGACCAGCCCACCAGTGATCCTGATGCATTGAAGTTTGAGGACCACTGTCCTAAGAGTTGGCAGCCATTTTTGGATATTGGTATTGTATTGAATATGGGTTGTACTTTCTCTCATGCTGACTTTTTCGTGGTGTTTGTTTGTTTGGTTGGTTGTTGTTGTTTGTTTTTTTGTTTTTTGGTACTGGAGATTCATCCCAGAGGTGCTCTATCACAAAGCTATACCCCAATCCTTTTTATTTTTTCTTAGGAGACAGGGTCTCATTAAGTTGCCCAGGATGGCCTTGAACTTGTGATCCTCCTGCCTCAGCCTCCTGAGTAGCTAGAGTTCCAGGCATGTACCGCTGTGCTGATACCCAGATTTTTAAACAATTTTTGAATTCTTGCTAAGTCTATGTTCAGTTCAGCATGTCTTGTGCTTGGTGTGTAGAACTAACAGTTCCTCCGTGATAGCCTAGCTGTAAGGACTCTGAGCTGGAGTTGTGAGGCATGGCACTCTGGGCAGATTCCAAGATCATACTCTAGATTTAGCTGGGATTTTAAAGATAAGGAACTCTGCAGTTGTGGTGGTATTTTCATTGAAATAATACCAGAGAACAGTTGTACAGTGAGTTTGGAACAGTTTCCCCTTTACAACCAGAAGTACTGGGCTATCGGCTAGCCAAAATTCACCCATAATCTTACTCTGTTTAATATTCATTGTAATGGAATATTTATATAAGACCAAGGAATGGTGTACATAGATAAAATTCAAGGAAAATTGTTTTGCTACTTACTTCTTGAAGAGCAAAAGTTGCTGATGGAAAAATTGCTCTACTACATAGTTCTGCATAATTTGGCAAGAAATAAATGACTCAATTGTAGTCCTAACTAATTTCACAGATCTAAAGTTAAGTTTTTGTAGGTTTCATTAACTTGGTATGGTTGCATCTTCTCTCTTTATGTTATGCCTAGATGGTTCTGTGCATAGATACATGAAATAGCAGAACCTAAGAAGACCATTGGTCTGTCCCCCCCCCCCCGCCCCGAGTTAAGGGGTTAACCTCAGTATTTATATTGGTGCGATAAATTGATTTTGAAGGGCATTTGAGGATGATTTAAGTCCCAATTAAACCCAGGTAAAAATGCTGCCATGATATATCGCCTAGCATTTTCTTTTTCTTTTCTTTTTTTTTTTTTTTTTTGGTAGATTCTGTCAGACTGTCGTGCAGTATTGGTAGTTCTGGGACCCTGGTGTGCAGATAAAGTAGCTGGCATGATGGTGAGGGAACTTCAGAAGTACATCAAACATGAGCAAGAGGAGCTGCACAGGAAGTTCCTATTGTTTACAGACACTTTTCTGAGGAAAATCCATGCACTGTGTGAAGAGCACTTCTCACCTGCCTCGCTTGACCTGAGATTTGTGACTCCTAAAGTAATAAAACTGCTCGAAATCTTGCGCAAATATAAACCATATGAGCGGCAGCAGTTTGAAAGTGTCGAGTGGTACAACAACAGGAACCAGGACAATTATGTGTCTTGGAGTGATTCTGAGGATGAGGATGAGGATGAAGAAATTGAAGAAAAAGAGAAGCCAGAGACAAATTTTCCTTCTCCATTTACCAATATTTTATGTGGAATTATTTTTGTGGAAAGAAGATACACAGCAGTTGTCCTAAACAGGTAAATCTCTAGGTTAACCTTTGCTTCCAGGTAGAACAAAGCACCTTTTCGCCTTGTGAGGCCCCAGCTGAAATGGCTCCAGAGCCAGCTGAGTGGTATCTAGGTGACCTTTGTCAACAAGTTGTTCACTTGTCACACTGCTGGCATTGCAGAGGCGATATCTGTAAACACGATTGCTGTCTTTTAAGGCCATTTGACATGACTAAGAGTTTTGTCTTCAAGGATGTTAATCTGTTCTGATTTAAAATAGGGAAATAGATTAAGTAATATTTCAGTAAAGTATTCCTTGTTTTGTATTTGATTGTTAGATTCAATTCAGATATTTATTCACCTTTAATTAAATATTAGCCATTGTGTTAAGCATTTCACATCAAGCTTTCTCCTTCAAGGGATTTTAGGATAAATTTTATCTGAGTATTGTGGCTTTTTTAATGTGAATTTTTTCCTTAGTGTGATATGTTGAAATAGCTTTTTAGTCTTGTTCTTATTTCCTGGCGTACAGCTCTTTAAAATCCTTAGAATCTTCACGGTGATATGTAAGTCTCTTTGTATGCTAATGATGTGATTTAGGGCTGCCAGCCCCTTAATAGCTTTAGGATGGGGCTGATCCCTGGAAAAACTGGCAAAATTAGAGGCGTGGGACTTTTACTCCTACCCCTAACCTGCAGGGAGGAGGAGGGACTGAACCTGAGTTGGTCACCAACAGCCAGTGATTTAGTCAGTTCATGCCTCTGTAATGAAGTCTCCGTAAAAACACCAAGGGACAGGGTCTTGAGAGCATCAGGATAGCTGGACACATGCAGACTCCTGGAGTAGCAAGCCTGGAGAGGGATGGAGGTCTGCCTTCTACCATAGGCTTCCTCCGGGGCATCTCCTCTCCTGTCAGAGTTCTTTGTACTAAACTGGTAAACCGGAGCGTTCCTGACTTCTTTGGGTCACTCTAGCACGAGAAGCCATCTGGGATAAAACCACCAGGGGCTTTGGTTGGCATCTGAAGTTCTGGAGTAGGCTTAGGGGCTTTGCCTTACAACCTATAGGATCTGACCATACCCAGGTAGATAGTGTCAGAATTAAATTAAACTAGAGAGTATCCCCCTGATGTCTGCTGCTGCAGAATTGCTTGCTTGATAGGGGAAAGTCCCAACCCTTTTTGAGGTCACAGGAATATTCTGGGTTGACTGCTGTGGTGTGGGAGCTGAGGCAAGACTGTTTATTCAGCGTGCTAAATAGTTGTGAGTTGTGCTTTCAACGAGGCAGTGGAAAAGCTGAGAACTAGATTTGCAGTATGAATTGGATTGTCAACTATGGGTTAAAATCTTCTGAGTTAGAAGAGAATAATGTTTGGAAGGATTCTGAGAATATTAGCAAAGGAGACAGTGAACCTGCATTTTAGGTTATGGATTCCAACTCCTTCCCCTTCTTCAATAAAGGCTAGTTTTTCCTGAGTATAGACCAGCCAAAGAACTATACTTAAATTTGTGCTAAATGGTCACCTAACATGTAGTCCTTTTAGTTTGTGGATGGATAGTATATTATTTTCGGCCAAAAAATGGTCCATATTTTGTACTTAAGACAATCAGCTTTTCTATGCAATCTATTAATTGTCTAGAGTTGATCTCTTAAGAGCCTTTTCTGCAGGTGGTGATCTCTGAGGAAAAATTAAGCTTTGTTTCCTGAGGTAATTTGGGATTTTTTTTTTTTTTTTTTTTAACTGCTTCTGAATGTTTGGGGGTTTTAAATTTTTTTGAGTAACGAGAAATTGGACTCGAGGGTAGTCGTCTGGCAGTTTTCAGTCTGGTAATTTTTGTAGTCAATTGAGCCTGAACTTTCTGATGAATATGAAATAAAATAACTCCAGGTACTGAATTACCTTTAAATCAGAAGTTTAAGGTTGGAAAGGGACCTCGTTGACTATCTAATCCAGCCCACTTATTTTTATAAAAAAGAGAAAGTGCCCCAGGAGGAAAAGTGATTTGCTCTACATTAAATTGCTAGTTAGTGGCAGGACAATTCTAGAATCCTAATATCCCAACTCCTAGTTTCCATTTCTTTGTACAATCATCATGCCCCTGGGCCCCACAACACTGGAAACCAGTGCTTCCCAGTGGGAAGATGGCCAGGAGACCTGCACAGGACTGACTAGGGATTATTTCTTAGAATGGGAAAAAGGCATTTCTAGGGTCATTTTCTGGGGCTTGGAAAGAAGAATGATGCGAGTTTATTTTCCTTCTCCCATTTCTATATGGTCCCCTACATCTGCCTTGTGTGGTGGGGGGTAGGGGCTCGATCTGCATGTTGTTTTCATGTAGAGCTGTGTCAGTTTTCATTGCAGGAATATTAGCCTGGAAAGGTTTATCCAGAATCAATCAGTTACTTCCTATTGACTTTAAGGATCAGATTAATTGTGATCAGCTTTCATAAAATGCGGCTGGAATTTAGTGTTATAGGATGAATCAAGAGCAGTCTGAGGGTTGACTTTATGGGCAGCTAATTAAATGTACAATAGAAGTCTTGTTTCAGTAAGCTTTTTAATAAGCTTAGAAAAACTTCCTGAAATCCAGATTCTTTCCTTCCATCAGTTTAATGGGAGGAAAACCCTCTTTCGGTGGCTGGTTTCATGGGAGTGTAAGCTCTTTCTGTGCCCATCTAGTTTTCGGTTCTTCTGATGGGAAAGCTCGTTCTCAGCTGCTTTGGGTGTAGTGGAGGTATGTGCTCACCCCATGTTTATGGCTTTCCTTTTAGCATATATAGGGTTCTATAGGTTACTTTTAAGTATTCTTAATTTTTTTTTTTTTTACAGCACACCATGAGGAAGGAAGGTAGATAGATGTTCTTAACCATTTTATAGATGAAGAAACCAAGACTCAGTTTGTGATCCTGCCCAAATTAACAGATATCAAGTGGCAGAAAATGGTTCCCGATTGGTCACCAAGTGTTGTTTTTTTCATCCTGTGATTTACTAGTATTGTGAGATATTGGCATTGAACAAACCCAAGTAATTCACATCCTGTCTCTACCCCTCCACACTTTTTTCCTAATTTTTTGTTTAATTTTGTTTTGGAATAGTTTTAGATCTATGGAAAAGTTGGAAAGACGGTACACAGTGTTCCCATGTTCATCCCCAGACTTAGCTTCTCCCGTTGTCAACATGTCACCATTTGTTGTAACAGAAAACTAACATGGCGCCTTGGTCCTTACTAAACATTAGGCTTTTTTCTACTCCCATTCTCTTTTTAATCCCAGGTGTCATATGCATTATTGTCGCATCTCCCCAGTGTCCCCTGGTCTGTTTGCAGTTTCCCTGTCTTCCCTTGTTTTTCACGAGCGTGGCCAGTCTCGAGGAGTACCTCCAAGCGGTTCATAGAACATGTATTTTTTATCAGCATGGACCCATGTTTATCTTAGACTTCAGGTTCTAATTCATACGGTTACTGGTTTTGCTGCACACACTAGTGCAGCTTTAGCCATCGGGAGTTCATTGAGCTCCTGTGTCCCTTTAACATACATTTATCCTTTTGTGTTTTTGAGTGTTTCCTTGTTTGGTAATAAGATGCTTCATTACTCTTTTTACCTTAGTAGGGGTTTATGGGTTACTTCATATGTGGGTGTGTTTGTTAAATATAAAAATGCAAAGCTCTTGTTTTTCCTGCCCATTTTGCCAAAAGGACTGTGACCCTTTTATTTCTGCCTGCCTTTCAGAGGTATATTTTATGAAATTTTTTTATCTTTTATAGTACTAATACTTACCTTTTTTATTGGTTTGTTAATAAAAGACAGTGTATATAAAAAAGCTGTTATATCCCTGTCACATAGTGATATTAGTTCTTAAGTTTTTTATGGACACATTTGGGGAATGTAACATCAGTATGATGTTCTGTGGCTGTCAATGAGAGGGATAGGTTTTTTGTATGGGTTTGGTTTTTGTTTTTCATAAGATCATAGAGAAATGTATTTGGTTTTCTCACACTAACAAGAAAATATAAGCAGTAAAGGATTCTCCTAGTGGTTTTATTTATGATGTACTTCAAGTACATGGTAGAAATTTCAGGTATTTTTGAAAAAAGTTTTTCTTTTGTAGTTGCCTGTGCTACATGTTTTTAAAAGTAATCTACTAGTTTTTGTTTACATATTTTCTGCTTGGGTTCATACTGACTCCAGTCTAATGGGGGGAGGTGTCGTATGTGAATACAGCACGGTCTTCCTCTGCCCAGAGTTGCATCAAGAAGTCAAGAATAAACATGGGGAAAAAAAAAAGCAGTGTTATGGTAATTTTATGTCTTCTAAATATAATAAAATAGGCGTTTTAATTTTAATGTTTTTTTAAGTTTTCTTTCTTTTTTTTTGGTACTGGGGATTGAACCAGAGGTGCTTAACCGCTGAGCCACATCCCCAGCCCTGTTTTATATTTTATTTAGAGACAGGGTCTCACTGAGTGGCGTAGGGCCTCGCTAAATTGCTGAGGCTGGCTTTGAACTTGTGATCCTCCTGCCTCAGCCTCCTGAGATGGTGGGATTGCAGGCATGTGCTACCACACCTGGCAATTTTATTTTCTTAATTAGTGCATTTTTTACAGAACTTTTCAAAAAGATTAGTCTCTGGATTGGAGAATTTTTGAAAACCTGATTCTCCACTCTTTATAGTCTGAGAAGCACTGAGCACCAGAGAACAGTATAGTTTATCAAGCAGCATGTTTGTGGAACAATTCATATAAACTCAGTTGAAAAATCAAAACACTATTTTCTCTGACCCAGTCCATGATAACAAGAAAATCAACTGACTCTTTTTTTTTGGTACTAGGGATTAACGCAGGGTGCTCTACCTCTAAGCCCTATCCCCAACCCTTTATTTATTTATTTATTTTTTTGAGACAGGGTCCTGCTAAGTTGCCTGGGCTGGCCTGGAACTTGCAGTCATCCTTTCTCAGCCTTCCAATTGCAGGGCTTAAAGGTGTGCACCACTACGCCCAGCACCACGAAGTCTCTAGGTAGTTTGTTAGTCTTTATAAAATCTCCCTGAGGACTGTGGACACTTGTTTCCCTTGTAGCCTTTGGCTTTATCTTGGGACATGGTTGGCCATTCCTTAAATTCATCCAGTAGAGAAATCATTTTCTTTTCTTAATGTTATAGCATAGGTGTGTGAGATTTAATTATTGCTTCCAAGATGTTTTTATTAATGTGGGTGTTGTCTTTTCTCTGTAGTATTGACATGGGTGTCATTAAGGGGAAATTCATTATGTTAGTGTTTCTATTTTTCAGATAATTGAAGTGTACCCGATTGAGAAATTTGGCCAGGTATATTCTTTGCCTAATTTAGAGTACCTTTAAATGCATTTTAAAAACCCCTACCATGTTCAAAATGATGCTTATTTATATAAAGTAAAATTTGGGTCTACATGTTATTTCTAAGATGATTATTTCAGATTTTAGACTTTTGGGAATGCTATTTGTTTGCATGTAATTCTGTTCTCTGTTACTGGCATCATAGTTATAATAAAATAATTAAATGAAGGACCTTGGAATACAATAAAGAAGTCTCAGGTTCTGGACATTTTAAGCCCTTGGACTATGGAGCAGATGCTTGAGCCACCTGGACACACAGTGTTCTGCTGGTTGTGGGTGGAGGTCCTCTGGATGGCCACTCAGTTCTTTCCACTCTTTGATGTTAACCTCTTTCACATATTTCAAAACAAAACAAAAAAGATCTGACTTAAAAATGCAATTTTCTATTAGGAATTTATACTATGTATGACTTCAGAGGATCCATGTGGAATCACTTAACTCAGGTGTGGAACCATTTATCTTGTGTGCTGAGTTTCTGAATGTGGGTATTTCCAAAATAGCTGTAATGGCAGCACTAACTGTTAACCTTTGGTGCCCATGTAATATGATCCTGTCCTGTAGCTCTTTCCATGTCTTAGCCAGAAGGCCAGCTCTAGGTTATTGGCATTCCAGGTTAATACAGAGGGCCAGGCAGGAAGGGGATCACAGCTCAGGGGTCTCTTTCAAGAGAGGAGGGTGGGAACTCCATGGCATTGCTGTACTAAAGGCTGTGCGGATGCCAGTCAGCTGTCTGGGGATCAGAAGGTGTTGGGATTGAGATGGCCAGGCATTTCTGTCCCAAGAGCTCTGCTCCTAGAGATGCAGGGTGTTGGGGAAGATGAAAAGAAGCAACTGTCGTTTTCCACATGTGGATAGAATTCTTTTGCCACATGGAAAGGGGTCTGAGTCCCTCTGCTTGGTGTCAAGCTTGGCAGTCCTTGTTCTGTGTGAGCACTGTCGTAGAGGAAGGAGCATGGCGGCTGCCAAAGCCCGTCATGTAGCAAGTGTGTCTTTCCTCAGAAGTCTAGTTCTGAAACCAAAATGTGCAAGGAGCTGTGTCTCTCTCTAACTGCTCTGGGCCTACTCTGGACCAAGTTCCTGTTCTGTCATCCTCACCAATCAAAACTTGGAGGTAGTGCCCCCGTTTCATTTGTCAGCGGAAGTCAGCCTCAGGCACGGCATTGTAAGTACTTGGTCCACAGACGTGTGTGGCAGTGATTTCTGTTGAAGCAAGGTAGAAATAAAAAAAAAAAAACAATACTGTTGTCTGGTATGTTGGCAAAAAATACTGGACATGTATTTCTAGTTTAAAGGAGACCTTAAAAACAAAAGCTTGAATGTTTTTCCCTCAGCAGTGTTTAACTTCCAAATGTGTATAATTTTCTTAGATTGATAAAGGAAGCTGGCAAACAGGATCCAGAGCTGGCTTATATCAGCAGCAACTTTATAACTGGACATGGCATTGGAAAGAATCAGCCTCGAAACAAACAGATGGAAGCAGAGTTCAGAAAACAGGAAGAGGTAACTTAAATCAAAATAGCCGTACGATAGCAATTTTCAGAACATAATACAGACAAACTTTGCTGTAGCAACTCCTTTCTTCAGAGTTCTCCAGCAATTTCTTTTTCTCTGTAATAGAGGATACTTGTTTATTTATAGAACAGCTGTCCCCTCTGAGGTGCTCTATGGTGGTATATAGAATAGCCGTCTGGTAATTCAATTTAGTCTCTTCATTGTTGTCAACCAGTTCATTTTCCTTTATTAGATTGATGTCACAGCTGCATCTCACAGAAAGAATAAAGCCTGGATAACCCTAACTCCCCTTGGCTCCGTATAGCTAGGAAGCAGCCCTGAAATCTTTTCCTAGAAAATGTTTTCTTTTTTTAAATATTTATTTTTTAGTTGTAGGTGGACACAATTTTTTTATATTTCTATGTGGTGCTGAGGATCAAACCCACTGCCTCATGCATGCTAGGCAAGCTCTGTACCTTTGAACTACAACCCCAGCCTCCCCCCCCCCCTTTTTTTTTCCATTTGGAGTCCTGCCTTGGTTGAATACTTTGAAAAATAATACTATATTTTGTAGATTTTAGTTTAAAATTTGTTGTGCTTTTAAAGGTTGAATATAGAAGACAGCATTATAAAGATTCTGAAAGTTAATACAATATTCAGGCTTATAAGAAAAACCTTGTATTTAAAGTTCTTATTTAAGTTAAACTTAGCAGACTAACTGTTGTTAAAGGCATTTTTATTTTTTTATTTTTTCTCTTTCTTTTTTTTTTATTGGTTGTTCAAAACATTACAAAGCTCATGACATATCATCTTTCATACATTTGATTCAAGTGGGTTATGAACTCCCATTTTTACCCCAAATACAAGTTGCAGAATCACATCGGTTACACATCCACATTTTTACATAATGCCATATTAGTGACTGTTGTATTCTGCTACCTTTCCTATCCCCTACTATCCCCCTCCCCTCCCCTCCCATCTTCCCTCTCTACCCCATCTGCTGTTATTCAATTCTCTCCCTTGGTTTTTTTTTTTCCCCTTTCCCATCACAAACTCTTATATGTAATTTTGTGTAACAATGAGGGTCTCCTTCCATTTCCATACAATTTCCCTTCTCTCTCCCTTTCCCTCCCACCACTTGTCTCTGTTTAATGTTAGTCTTTTCCTCATGCTCTTCCTCCCTGCTCTGTTCTTAGTTGCTCTCCTTATATCAAAGAAGACATTTGGCATTTGTTTTTTAAGGATTGGCTAGCTTCACTTAGCATAATCTGCTCTAATGCCATCCATTTCCCTGCAAATTCCATGATTTTGTCGTTTTTTAGTGCTGCGTAATACTCCATTGTGTATAAATGGTTAAAGGCATTTTTATCACAGCTTTTTGATAGTATTCAGGGCTCAGGGAGTCCACAACGAGACAAATAGATGTGACTGTCTCAAAACCAACTACGTTGTTATTTCACTTACCCTAGACTGGGGAGTGATAAGATTTTAAATCTCACATGAGAAAGCTTTCATTTTATTTTAATCAATTCTGACTTTTTAAATGGGAAATTTCCAAACGTGCTAGAAGGTAAGCAATGCTCTGCTTGCAACTTTTAATTTTAAGTGGATTAGCGATTTCAGTGATGCAGTTTTGATATTGGAGGTAGTGCCCCCGTTTCATTTGTCACACAGTGGGATGTTAGCACTGGTCTCACAGACATGAAGTGTCAGCATGCAGAATCAGAATAGCTAGAGGACTCTAGAAGTGGTTTCATTTGGTCACTTAGTTTGGTAGACCTACTTGTCAATAAAGAAGTCAGCCCTTTCAACTTGAAGACTTGCTTGCTATGATTTGTGACATGGGTACTTCTCAAAAGTAGAAAGGCATTTTGATTTTCCAGTCATTTTCAGTTGAAAACTCCTGTCATTAAAGTTTCTGTGTCCATGTAGCCATGCATATGGGTTTCTGTGATGCTCTTAACTTATCTTACTTAGGCTGCCCAGCATGTATGTCAGACACGGACATTATTAATTATTGTTATTATATTGTTTTCTTGAGAAAATTTCTTAGAATTGCTTTTCTTGGCGGATTTTTTTCAGGTACTTAGGAAATTTCGAGCACATGAGACAAACCTGCTTATTGCAACAAGTATTGTAGAAGAGGGTGTTGATATTCCAAAATGCAACTTGGTGGTTCGTTTTGATTTGCCCACAGAGTATCGATCCTATGTTCAATCTAAAGGAAGAGCAAGGGCACCGATCTCTAATTACATTATGTTAGCAGATACAGACAAAAGAAAAAGTTTTGAAGAAGACCTGAAAACCTACAAAGCAATTGAAAAGGTAAGGTCAAAAACTTAATGTGGTGTCTTCTAGATAAAAATGACTTATCCACAGAGAATAGTGTGATCAAGGGGTTGCAATGCATGTATTACAAGAAATTTTAGAATATCTATTACAAAGACCCATTAGTATTTTGTGATGTGTTTGGAAGTTCACAATAAAATACCAGTGAAAATTATTATACAGATTTAATGCAATTCCTATTAAAATCCCAATGACGTTCTTCATAGAAATAGAAAAGGCAGTCGTAAAATTTATTTGGAAAAATAAGAGACCCAAAATAGCTAAAGCAATCTCCTTAGCAAAAAAAGCGAATCAGGGGGGCATCACAATACCAGACCTTAAGGTGTACTACAGAGCTATAGTACCAAAAACATCATGGTATTGGCACCAAAATAGACTTGTAGACCAGTGATACAGAATAGAGCACACAGAGATAAACCTACATAAATATGGTTATGTCATACTAGACAAAGGTGCCAAAAACATGTACTGGAGAAAAGATAGCCTATTCAACAAATGGTGCTGGCAAAACTGGAAACCCATATGTAGCAAAATGAAATTAAACCTCTATCTCTCACCCTGCACTAAAATCAACTCAAAGTGGATCAAAGACTTAGGCACTAGAACAGAGACCTTGTGCCTAATAGAAGAAAAAGTAGGCCCAGATCTTTACCATGTCAGCCTAGGATCTGACTTCCTAACAAGAGTTCTGAAGTGCAAAAAGTAAAATCAAGAATCAATAAATGGGATGCATTCAAATTAAAAAGCTTTTTCTCAGCAAAGGAAACAAACAATAACGTGAGGAGAGAGCTTACAGATTGGGAGAAAATCTTTACCATATGCACCGCTGATAAAGCGTTAATCTCTGGGATATATAAAGAACTCAAAAAACTTAACACCAAAAAACCAAATAACCCAGTCAGTAAATGGGCTAAGGAACTGAACAGACACTTCACAGAAGATGAAATACAATTGATCAAGAAATATATGAAAAAGTGTTCAACATCTCTAGCAATTAGAGAAATGCAAATCAAAACTATACTAAGATTTCATCTCACTCCTGTCAGAATGGCAGTCATCAAGAATACAGACAATGATAAATGTTGGCAAAGATGTGGGGAAAATGGTATACTCATACACTGCTGGTGGGACTGCAGATTGGTACAACCACTATGGAAAGCAGTATGGAGATTCTTTAGAAAACTTGGAATGGAACCACCATTTGATCCAGCTATCCCACTCCTCACTTTACACCCAAAGGACTTAAAATGCAGCCATGTCAATGTTTATAGCAGCTCAATTCACAATAGCCAACCCATGGAACCATCCTAGGTGTCCTTCAATAGATGAGTGGATAGAGAAAAAGTGTGTGTGGGTGTGTGTGTGTGTGTGTGTATCCATCCAATGGAATATTACTCCGCTTTGAAGAAGAATGAAATTATGGCATTTGCCAGTAAATAAATGGAGTTGGAGAATATCATGCTAAATGAAATAAGCCAGTCCCCAAAAACTAAAGGCTGAATGTTTTCTCTAATATGCAGGTGCTAATTCACAATAAGGCTGGGGGCACTAGAGAGAATAGTGTTACCTTAGATTAAGGAGCCGGAAGAAAAAAAAATACCAATGAAAATGTTCATAGGGATCATTGGGGAAGGATGTGGGGAGGGTACAAGGTAGTTACTGTTCGTAAGTTGTGGAGAGAGGTGAGGAATGCATATGCATTTGTGCAACACTGGTGGTCATGTGTGCATGAGACCTGATACTGTGTGGCATGTGTCTCCATATGATTAGAGCTGGGATGGATTCTGCACAAGAGTTCTCTTTAGTAGGTGACTTAAAGAGTTTTGAAATATGTTTAGGAGAGATGGATATGTCCCGTTAACAGAGCTTTGTGGGTATTGAGGAAGACAACTTGCATACGTCAGAGAAGACATTTGTTCTTATCTCAGTTCTGTTTTTGAATGTCAGATTTTGAGAAACAAATGTTCCAAGTCTGTTGATACTGGTGAGGCTGACGTTGATCCTGTTGTGGATGATGACGACGTTTTCCCACCGTATGTGTTGAGGCCTGATGATGGGGGTCCCCGGGTAACAATCAACACAGCCATTGGACACATCAATAGGTATGGAGTCAGGTCATTTGTGTGGAAACGTGTGAGTATTGCAAGACTTAAGTCTCAGCCTGTTAAGTATGATTTTTATTTTTTTTTTTACATTTTGAAATCATCAGTCTTCAATTATGAGTTATAGTATTTTGATGTCAGAAAAGTTGTTTTTTTCATGCAAAAGCAGGATTGTAATAAATACGCAATAGTCATTGATAAGGTTGACATGATAACATGCTTCTTTTAATTAGATAATTTTATTAGATGTGATGATTTTTTCTAAATCTTGAGATTTGTTGTTTTGTCCTATAAATGTTGGCTAATGTTGACTTCATTAGTGATTAAGCAAGATTATTAATAAATTTATATTTTTGAATATATTCTAATTTACTTTGTCCTGAGCTGATATCATGTCTAAGAATTAAGAAAGACAGATACATACCTAGATATATATCAGGACAAATTTTATTCAGAGGTAAAATAAATTTTGATGTCAAAAATTCCAATTTGGCCAACGGGAATCTTTCAAGCTAGCTTCTCTGTCTTTAAACATGTCACCATTGTTCTTGAATGCTTCCTCCTTTTCTGGCACAAGATGTTCTAGTCTCAAGTGGAATAGATTCCTGCCCCAACCCTGATCCTGTGGCTGGTTTCCATGGGCCCTGGCTTCTTTTAGTGGAGAATGAGTTGTGTGTAGAAATCAAGATCTGGACCATAAGTGTGTTCATTGACACTAGGGTGTTAATGTTGCCAGACTTTTTAGTGGACAGGGCTGTTTTGCCTGTTTACATTATGTACATGTTCATATCTGTTTGTGTTCAAATACATGTTGACGCCTCCATTTACTTCTGTTTCTGATCACCTATCTTTTGGTACGTCTACTTTCATGTGACACTAAAGGATTTGTTCTAGATTTCTTCTTGTCTTTGTACCTCCCTTCTCTGATGGTGAGGAGTCTGGTTTTGTGGTCCTCAAACATAAACATTTATGTGCTCTGTCAGCCTGCCTGGAGCCAGTCTCCGCACTCCGTGGTGTGCCCTGACCGCCCACTTTGTACCTTCTCAGGGCTGGTGTCATTCCAGCACCCTCCTTAATTGGGCCTGGCTTCCTGGGCTGCTCTGTCACTCTTCTTGCTTTGATGCTCTTCTTACGTCAGGCTATCTGTGTCCTTTTTTTGATGTCTTCCTTACATCCTAATAGTTGCTGGCGAATGTAAGATTACTAAGGAGCAAACACTAGCAATATTTCCTGTTCACAGATTCAGAAGAATGCTTTGTGTGCTGTGCAAAATGGTCACACTAGACACATATGGCTATTTAAATTCAAGGTTCAGTTTAAATTAAAGTAAGATTAAAACTTTTCCCAGCTGGATGTGGTGGCACATGCTTGTAATTCCAGTGACTCAGGAGGCTAAGTAAGGCAGGAGGATCATAAGTTTGAGGCCCTAATCAATTTAGTGAGAGCCCCCTAACCCTCATCTCAAAATAAAGTGCTGAATGATGTGACTCAGTGGGTAAACACTCCTGGGTTTAGTCCTCAGTAACTCACCCACACACACAAAAAGTGTAGTTCCCTAGTTGCACACATCAATTTCAAGTTCTCAGTTGTATCTTATTGAAAGTTTGAAGCAATGAAGTACATACTTCACATGGAAATGCCAATCCGGTGAACAGAAAGAGGGACATGAGAAATCAAAATTCAATTGTGAATATCAGTACAAGTTTTTCTATTTTTCATTGTATATTCAGCTTTATTATTTCTTTTTGTTCACAGATACTGTGCTAGATTACCAAGTGATCCGTTTACTCATCTAGCTCCCAAATGTAGAACCCGAGAGTTGCCTGATGGTACATTTTATTCAACTCTTTACCTGCCAATCAACTCACCTCTTCGAGCCTCCATTGTTGTAAGTTAAAAAAAATAAAGGATTGTGTCTTTTAAAGTATGTCATTAGTGGATTTTTTTCCTAGCTTCTCTAAAACATACAAGTTATACATTTGGCTTTAAAGTCTTCTTTGAAAAGTAGACTCAATTCTCTTCTGCAGTCAGCTACATATTCAGATTATTCAGATTTTGAATAGACTGTACAGTGTACGGACTCTTAGAATTGTACTGGGGACCTCTGCAGTTCCCTGAGGTCTACTGTGCAGACACTTCTGACTGAATCATTCATTTGTGACCTCGAGACTCACCGTGACACAGAACTCATTACATGTAGCTGAGCTACTCTAGTTATCTTGTTAGCTCAGAAATCTGCCTTTTGTAAATCTGTTATCCCAGCATTCATTTGCAGATACTGCAAGATGATGGCTTTATATTGTACATAGAAAGCTGCTGAGTACTGCTAATCTGTGTTATATCCCAGTGTATCTGTATTTTTATAGATTAGTAAAATTAGGTACTTTAAAATCTTAATGAAATTTATTAAAATAGTTAGGACTTAGTTTTTCTCGGGCAGAGTTTTTAAAGATGAACATTTCAAGTATGGAGATTAGGATATTTAAAAGCATAGTGGTATTTTTAAATATGAAGAATTTTTTTTCTGGTAAATTGAACTTTAAAGATCCTGGGGCAGAGATTTCATAGTGTTTCATGTGCTGGTGATAATATGGCCTCAGGCATATGCAGTGGAAAAGTTTTTTGTCATTTCTAGGGCCCACCAATGAGCTGTGTGCGATTGGCTGAAAGAGTCGTAGCTCTCATTTGCTGTGAAAAACTGCACAAAATTGGTAAGTAAACATGTTTGAAAAACATATGTAAATAAAAATAAGTTTTAAACATTGTAAAAAAGAAGTACATCAGGACTTGACACGTTTCTGGGGAGTTTGTAGAGCTGTGAACATGGTGCTCTTGGTGAGCTTTTATGGATATAAATGCAAATATAACTGGAAAGCCTGCCGCGTCGCGTCACGGGAGCTCTCCACAGCCTAGCTGTGAACAAATGCTACTTATTTGCTTCCTTTTCTGACTCCTGTTAAGGACTTAAAAGTTAGGGTTAGGGTTGTGTGTAGAGGTGTAGGGGTGTGTGTGTGTGTGTGTGTGTGTGTGTGTGCGCCAGAGAGGAGGGGGGGAGGGGGGAGGGGAGGGAGAGGCAGGAAAGGAGGGAGAGGGAGAGAGAGGCTAGTCTCTCATATTCATCTTTACTGTGTTGAGTTTAATTATTTTGTTTTTAAATGGGAAGACTTGTTCTCTGTGGCCTTTTGTTTAGAAGCGATATGTGCTATTTTCCCGTTCATTTTTGTTCCCCCAGTGAAGGGGATTGGGACCCCGGGCCTTTTGCATGTTAGGTGAGCCTCTATCACTGAGCTACAATCCAGCCTTAGATGTTTTTAGTTTTGAGACTTAGAATTTGCAGTTCTGCTCATATTGAGTCTGTGGATGTCAAAGTGGACTGCCTGACGTCTCACCTCTGGTTGCTTTGACCTTGTTAAAGGTAGAAGTGCTTTAGTTCTCACTGCTTTTTCACTGACTTCTTAGCATAGGTTTTAGGTTATTTACTAACCAGTCAGCAAAATCTGGGTTGTTTATATTAACTCTCTTTTTTGTTTTCTCAGGTGAACTGGATGAACATTTGATGCCAGTTGGAAAAGAAACTGTTAAATATGAGGAAGAGCTTGATTTACACGATGAAGAAGAAACCAGTGTTCCAGGAAGACCAGGTTCCACAAAACGAAGGCAGTGCTACCCAAAAGCAGTTAGTATTGGTTAGAACTGAATAAAAATTTGGCCTTTCTGACTTGATTTCCTGCTGTATCAACTCTAAATTTCTCTGCGTGCTTGTTTTTCCAGTCTTGTGATTTGACCCACTTAGTGGATATCAGCTCATTTCTCCGATTCATAACTTCTCTCAGATTAGCTTGTTTCACTTTAGATATTGTTTGTTTTATTCATTTTGGGTTATTGTTTTTTCCTCAAAAGGATTCTTGGACTCATTAGAATGAGTTTATTTTAGTCAGAGACACCATTGGGTTCTCCCTTATGGTGTGAGTCTTGCCCTGCTTGCCGCTGGCACTGAGACAAGAGGTGTGTGTGAGGCAGTGGGCAGGCGAAAAGTGCACAGGGTGGGAGCATGGTCTCCGCCAGGAGGTCAGGTGTGGGCCTCTGGGGTCAGAACAGGTGGTTTCTGTGGACTGTCGCCTGGTCTGTGACATTTGGCAGATTCACACACTAAAACCTCCGAGTCTGACTTCTGGGTATAGCCATACTTGCTAAAGTATTTATTTTTAAAATACTTATATTTTTATGTCATAAGAACTTCAAACAAAAGCAAAATTTTGCTGTATACTTTTATCTTAATCTAAATGTATGGTTCTTTTGCTTTTACAGGTTTTATTTAGTTTCACTTTTAACAAATGTATACCCAACTAAGCATTTTCAAGATTCACAGCCATATTGGTTTTGTAAAACTCATGAGCTTTATCCACTTTTGTGAAAGCTCCTTTCCTTCATGCTGAGTCTTCCTGTTGGACTATTTCATATGGCGGATCCCACAGATGATGAGTGTTTTGAGAGCGCAGTACTGCCTTGTGAACTGTTGAACAGACTTCTGCTGTCCCTTGTCCAGCATTTCTGTACCTTTTAACTATAGATGCAGTGATTTGTCATTATCTCAGAAACTGCGGGACCCTAGTCTGTAGGCTGTATTTATAGTGAAAGCCTAGGAACAATTGAGATGATTTAATTATGGCTCACTCTCATAATGAGATAGCCATTAAAATGATTGTGGTGATTCATTGAAAAATACTCTCATGTCTTAACTGGGGATAAATCAGATTATTTTACACACAGGCACACACGCATGCTCACAGTCTGTTGTGTGACTTTATTTGTATTGAAAAATAGGAGTGTGTATATGTCTATATATGTTTATGCATAGAAAAACGTTTAAGGAATTATGCAGTATATCAAAATATGACTGAAGATTCTTTTAAAAAATACAATTGATCTAATGTAGTACATTAGTGGTGATATTGCAGTGATTCTTGATTCCTCCTTCCTTTCTCCCTTTCTCCTTCCCTCCCTCTTTTGCTCCCTGTTGTGTTACTGGGATGGAACCCATGGCCTCACGCATAAAGCTCACTACCACTGAACTGCGTCCCAACCCTAGTATGCTAGGAAGAATTTTTTTGCCAACACCTAGAATAGAGGCTATTTATACTTGTGCATGATACTCAATTTTTGTTTCCAACTCTAGATTCCAGAGTGTTTAAGGGATAGTTATCCCAAACCCGAGCAGCCCTGTTACCTGTATGTGATAGGAATGGTCTTAACTACTCCGTTACCTGATGAACTTAACTTCAGAAGGCGGAAGCTCTATCCCCCCGAAGACACCACACGATGCTTTGGGATACTGACAGCCAAACCCATACCTCAGGTAGACCTTCTATCATGACTGTCGGGTTGAAAATATCTTAGATTTTGCTTTTTTAAAAAAGAAATAGGGAAAGGAAAATTAGTAGTAAGTGTCTTCGTTAACTCAGCATATTTAACATTTAAAGAGTGGGGTATCTCTCAAGACTGGGGTATCTCTCCTGCTGATAGAAGGCATCATTTTCTTCTCAAGTTAACTATATTGGGGTAAAGACTTATTGACTTTGAAGGGTGCTTTTGTTTTCTTTTTGCTAAGATTCCACACTTTCCTGTGTACACACGCTCTGGAGAGGTCACCATATCCATTGAGTTGAAGAAGTCTGGATTCACGTTGTCTCTGCAGATGCTCGAGTTGATTACAAGGCTTCACCAGTATATATTTTCACATATTCTTCGGCTTGAAAAACCTGCACTAGAATTTAAACCTACAGACGCTGATTCAGCATACTGTGTTCTACCTCTTAACGTTGGTAAGAAGGGCCCAGGCTTGAAGTGTAGCCACAGAAAGAAAGTTTTGCTGATAATTAGTTAATCAGATATACTATAGCAGTCTCTCACTTTGATGATTCTACATTAGGTACATGTTAGTACACAGCTCAAGTCAGAAAGAATCTTATCTGTGTTATATTTTAATAAGCTAAAGAGTCTATTTTCTTTCCTAAGTTAATGACTCCAGCACTTTGGACATTGATTTTAAATTCATGGAAGATATTGAGAAATCTGAAGCGCGCATAGGCATTCCCAGCACAAAGTATTCAAAAGAAACTCCCTTTGTTTTTAAATTAGAAGATTATCAAGATGCAGTTATCATTCCAAGGTAGGTGCGTAAGCGGGAAGGAAAGCAGTGTGGTGCTTCGTGAACTCGGCAGTGGGGCTGCATGACCCTTCACGGTAGAAGGGGCTGTTTTCTCTGGGCTACTTGCTTTACAGAAACCTAAGCATTGTTAGTAAAGAGATTTTACTTATGAGGGTCAGAACATCTAAATAATGTTGATTGTCTTTCTTCCTAAAGCCTCTATCCTTTTAATTCCCTAAAGTCTTATATAATTTGATCACATATAATAGTTTTGCTTCTTAAAATTTATATAAGTTATATAAATGTTATGTAAGCTCAGTGAAGATAAGAAGTCAGAATATTTTTTTCTTATTTTGTGAAAATTTAAGGATGAACTTTTGGGACAATAAAATTAAATGTAGGAACTTTTCAAAAAATTAGAGTACTTGTATAATTTAATCTTTGTTTGATTTTTTTGGGGGGGAGGGGTTGTATGCCTTGAAAGCCATGTTTTAAATGACAGTTATCACCAGTCTATCACTGTCATGGGTAAAATAGTAACTCATTTTATGTGGCAGATATCTCACAGTTAGCATTAGTGATAGTCAAAGTATTCATTAACCTGAGCATGTGAGTACACACCCTATAATCCCAGTAACTCAGGAGGCTGATGCAGGAGGATTGCAAGTTCTAGGCCAGCCTCAGCAACTTAGTGGGACCTTGTCTCAAAATGAAAAGTAAAAATGAGGGCTCATTCCCCAGTACCACAAACAAACAAGAAACCAACATTCACTTAGTTGTAAGTTTTTGTAAGCTTTCTCTTTTGATTATATTGATGAAATAGATTCTCAAAGATACCATATATCATTCATGTATTATCAAAGTGTAGATATTAAGAACAAAAATAACAAAATGGGAGAGAGCAGAGAGTCAGTTTTTAATTGATAAAAATAGATTTTTTAGGGCCTGGGGTTGTGGCTCAGTGGTAGAGTGCTTGCCTAGCATGGGTGAGGCACTGGGTTCGATTCTCAGCACCACATATAAATAAATGAATAAAATAAAGATCCATCAACATCTAAAAAAATATATTGTTTCCTGTTCAGTTGAAATACATCCTTTGGAATTAATGTTTTCATTTCTTTTTAACCTTTTGAATTCTTAATCATAATTTGTGTTTCTAATTAAAACAGTTGTGTCTTGACAAAAGTTGATTTAAACAGAAAAGTAATTGTTTTTCTTTTCAGATACCGCAATTTTGATCAGCCTCATCGATTTTACGTAGCTGATGTGTACACTGATCTTACCCCACTCAGTAAATTTCCTTCCCCTGAGTATGAAACTTTTGCAGAATATTATAAAACGAAGTATAACCTTGACCTGACCAATCTCAACCAGCCACTGCTGGATGTGGACCACACATCTTCCAGGTGAGAGCTCCGTAAGTGACGTCAGATTGCACTGGAGGGTTTCATTTTGGAGGTCGGGTTCACATGTGGAGGTTCCCTGTGCCCCTGGCCTACCCATAGACTCTGAAATCAGGACCCCTCTGCACCCAGGCATACCTGGGAGTATGATTCAGGAGTCTGTGGTTAAGTGAGTACGCTGAAGTTGGAAAACCACTGTGAAAGCATACTTACTTTTGTTTGACAAAATTGTTTTGAAATTTTTATAGACTTAATCTTCTGACACCTCGACATTTGAATCAGAAGGGGAAAGCTCTTCCTCTCAGCAGTGCTGAGAAGAGAAAAGCCAAGTGGGAGAGTCTGCAGAATAAACAGGTACTGGTTGTTGCTGGTGTCGTCACTGTGTTTGAAGATAAGTTTCAGTTTTACATCATCAGGTTCACTGAGTGATTTGCAAATTGGGGGCAAGTCACTCTACCTTAGATTTTGTTTTGTTCTAATCAGTATTATATATTGAATTTTACTTGAATATCTTCTTCAGTAAGGATTGAGCATTCTGCTTTTGTCATTAGTCCATGCTGTATCACGCAGTCATGCTCATGAATCTTAGGTCAAATTCCATTTAGGCTTAAAGAATTATTTAAAAAATATATGTGAAATTAGATCTTATTAGCATTTGTAATTTTCATCTTCATCCATTAGTGAAATTGGTCTTTTAATTTACTTTAAAAACATTTTGTGTATGTGCCAGGCGCACGTGTGTGCTTTTTATTTATCTATTCACCTTTTTTCCTTATTCCAAAGATACTGGTTCCAGAACTCTGTGCTATACATCCAATTCCAGCATCGCTGTGGAGAAAAGCAGTCTGTCTCCCCAGTATACTTTATCGCCTTCACTGCCTTTTGACTGCAGAGGAGCTAAGAGCCCAGACAGCCAGTGATGCTGGCGTGGGAGTCCGATCACTTCCTGCGGATTTTAGGTATGCCTGTACTGTTGGCCAGGAAAAAATGGGTCGTGAAGTCCTATTTGTGAGAATGGAATTAATTTAAATTTAATTTTATATAAAATATTTCTTTAAAAAGTAAAGGCAAAACATGGATGTCTAATACATTTAAAAAATGTCTTGTTGGACTTGCAAGTGAAAATTGGCACATTAGGTTATTAAGCCCTCTGTTCTTACCAAATTACAGAGGGAGGGGAGCCCAGAAGCAGAGGTGCTTACTCGTCCCTCAGTGCTGACATGGAAGTGAGTGAAAACAGGTCTTTAGGACAGCTTCCTCTTTGGAAGAAAACCCTGTATATTAAAAAGCAGTTACCCTGGGCTGGGGATATAGCTCCCTTGGTAGAGTGCTTGCCTCACATGTACAAGGCCCTGGGTTCAATCCACAAAAAAAAAAAAAAAATAGGTCTACCTCTACCTCAGTATTCTTTGTGTTCATTATTTTTTTTTTCCCCCATTAGTAAAGTCTCTGCACCCTAAGGAAATTTTTGGTTTAACCACTGAAATTAATTTTGGTTATCCAATAGTCCAATTCTAGGGATTGAAATAACTTTAAAAATACAACATTAATGGGGCTGAAGTTGAAGCTCAGTGGTAGAACACTTGCCTATCACATGTGAGGCACTGGGTCTGATCCTCAGCACCACCTAAAAATAAATAAATAATTTTTTAAAAAAAGGTGTATTGTGCCCATCTACAACTAAAAATAGATATATTTTTAAAATATTGATTTTTTTAGCTATAGTTGGACATAATACCTTTATTTATTTATTTTTAGGTTGCGCTGAGGATTAAACCCAGGGCCTCACATGTGCTAGGAGAGCGCTCTACTGCTGAGCCACAACCCCAGCCCTAAAAATATATCTTTAAAAAATATAACATTGACAATCGCAGCTCTGTTGATTGAGTACCTGCTACAGCGTTAAATACGTGTTTAAATGAGGCAGCCTATATTAGCTCATTTAATCCAAGGGCCATCCTGTGAGGCAGGAATCCTGAGCTGCATTTCCAGGTACAGAAACTGAGCCACAGAGTTGTGTAAGCCGCTCACCTAGTTAACCAGAGAACCTGGGTTCCAAGTCCTAATGGCCACCTTTAGGCTGTGCCATGTGCCTCAGTCATTGCACTGTGCTCGGGCAGGGCGGAGGGCAGGGCAGAGGGCAGCCGAGTGAAACCAATCCCACTTTATAACTGACTTTGTGTGGGGTGTCAAGTGATGTTGATTTCTAGCTTGGAAACTTGTTTCTCTCTAAAAGTAGAGGAGTGTCTTTATTTTGTTCTTTACTATTAGTTTTTTAAATTGAAATTGCTGTGTTCTTAGCTAGCCCTTTTGAGGGATCTGAAGAAGTTATGAAAATGTCTTTGCAGATACCCTAATTTAGACTTCGGGTGGAAAAAATCTATTGACAGCAAATCTTTCATCTCAATTTCTAACTCCTCTACGGCTGAAAATGATAATTACTGTAAGCACAGCACAATTGTAGTCCCTGAAAATGCTGCACATCCAGGTGCTAATAGAACCTCCTTAGAAAACCACGACCAAATGTCTGTGAACTGTAGAGCATTACTCAGCGAGTCGCCGAGTAAGCTTCAGATTGAGGTTTCAACAGATCTGACAGCAGTTAATGGTCTTTCTTACAATAAAAACCTTGCCAATGGCAGTTACGACTTAGCTAACAGAGACTTTTGCCAAGGAAATCAGCTGAATTACTACAAGCAGGAAATACCTGTACAACCAACTACCTCATATCCCATTCAGAATTTATACAATTATGAGAACCAGCCCAAGCCCAGCGATGAATGTACTCTACTGAGTAATAAATACCTTGATGGAAATGCTAACAAATCTACCTCAGAAGGAAATCCCGTGATTGCCGCGATGCCCGGTACGACAGACACCGTTCGAGCGCTTATGGACAGGAGGGGTGCTGAGCAGAGCCCTTCTGTTGGGTACTCCTCGAGGACTCTTGGCCCCAATCCTGGACTCATTCTTCAGGCTCTAACTTTGTCAAATGCCAGTGATGGGTTTAACCTGGAGCGGCTTGAAATGCTTGGCGACTCCTTTCTAAAGCACGCCATCACCACGTATCTGTTTTGCACTTACCCTGATGCTCACGAGGGCCGCCTTTCGTACATGAGAAGCAAAAAGGTAAGCTGTGGTTCTCTGGGTTGAGCGGCAGGCTCTTCAGGGGCCTGCTGGTAGTTTGCAGGGTGGTGTGACCTCGGGACAGTCCGCCAAGCGCTGCGCTCCTTCGTTCCACAAGGGCCAGGTGAAGCCTGTGGGTTCTCGCCAGGTGACACGAGTGCTCCATGCTGTCGACACTCGGGTTCAGGGGTCAACTGATGTTTGTATGCTTTATTTATTCGTAGAAATTCAGTTCAGGTAAACCTGTTGGTGCAAGTCTAAGTCCTAGATCCCAAGGGAGACAGAGGGATCACAGAACCCCGGGCTGGCACTTCACCCCAGGCATGGGAAGCCTTTGGGTGGGAGGGCGTGTGTGGGCAAACGGGGGTGTACACTTGAGTAGGACACAGGCTTCGGGGAGCTGTGTGGGGGACAGAGTCACAGGCGTCCCAGAGCCACTCAGTCCCTGTTTGGTGTAAGGAGTCACATCAGAGTTGCTGTGAGGCTCCGTGACCCCGGGGAAGTGTGTGTGCTTCAGACGAGAGTGGGTGCAGGGCGGCTCGCGCAGACTGTTAAGTGGTGACAAAGAAAGTGAGCTGGTGACCCTCGGCTCTCAAAGGAAGGCCACTCGTGAGTTGGAAGAAGAGGCATGTGCACATGTGACCAGCACCAGTGACGGCAGAGGAGCCAGCGCTCGGCAGGTGCAGCCGGCACAGTCCAAGAGTGGGAGAGCTGAGGGAGGTGTGGAGGAGGCGCAGGGCGCGCCAGCTGAGGGCCTTAGTCGGGGGTGAAGCGAGGGACCAGGACGATAGTGAACTGATAGTTCTTAACGTGAGTGGTCTCTGGGACGCAGCGTGGCTTAAACAGCAGAGCCAGAGCAGGCCGAACAGCAGGGCGGGCAGGCTGGAATTCTGGGAGAGGGAGCAGCTGAGGCTGGGGAGGGAAAAAATGGCACCTCAGCCACCACCAGGCACTGCTGAGGCCACTTTGTGTGTGCATCTCTCTCTCTCTGTCTCTCTCTCTCTCACACACACACACACACACACACACACCACATGCACAAACATACCTAAGCCTAATTTAATCCTGAGTATAATTTGGAGAGATGTGTACTTCCATTTCTATAGATAGATAAACAGGAGGCAGGAGAGGTTGACTCACGCTGCAAGTAAGGGCAGAGTCTGGAGACCCTGCCTGTCGCTGTCACACTCAGCTGTTTCTGGTGCTCTCACAGCAGGCACTGTGCTGAGCGCTTCTCCAAAGGCTCCACCCGGAGTTGCCTCAGCAGGGCTCCAGGAGGCAGGTGCTGAGGAGTGTGGGCGGATGGTGCTGGTCACCCTGCTGGCCCAGCACCGTCGGGAGAGTGTCTGAGGCTGGAGGCCACACCACGGCCTCCTGTCCTCTGCTGCCTTCTGATGAGCTGAGACAGGGTGGTCATGCCCTGACGGGAGCTCTGCCAGCCGGGAGGCTGAGGAGAGCAGCCATGTGGAGGTCAGAGAGGTAGGAGGTGGGGAGGGTTGTGCCTCGAGACCTCGTAGGACATGAAGGGGAAATGCTCCGATCATTGGGATTTGGGACTCAGCTGTGGTTCTGCAGAGGCCTCTGTGGGGAGGGAGTTGAAGCTCTGAGACAGATGAGATTTCTGAAGAAGATCTGGGAGTCTGAGGATGAGCGCTTCGAGGGAGGAGGGAGGACTCCATCCCTGCGTCTGCTCTGAGCCCTTGGCTCCTAATTTCTTACAGAAATAACTGTCGCTCCCTGAGCCAGGATGAGGGCCAGGTCAGAGGACTCTCGAGGGCGGGCCTCACTGGGCTGTGGCCTGCTACTCCACAGGGACCTCACGTGCTCACCACCCAGCCCTGTGCCTTGGCTGGCCCTGCTGCTCCTCCTGGCACTTCTCCCCCTTTGCCTCCTGCCTGTCCCGAATTTCAACTCATCCCTGAGTTCTTCTTTAGTTCCTTCTCCCTTCTCCATGTGGCCACCCACTTGTGTCAGCTTCGAATGTGTTTTCCCTTCCTGGGAGTCCCCTTCGCTTTATGCGCGGCTTTATAGTCGAGTGTGGAAAGGGCACCTCACATTTTATTGGAGTCAGTTCCGGCTCAGGCGATGAGGAGAGCGCTTGGCACACAGCAGCCGTCCTAGGCAGGTCTCCTCCCCCACCACGGTCACCTTGCAGGGACTGCTTTGTCCCTCTGACCAGTTGCCACAGGGCTGCCTGGCCAAGTGCCTTTCAAGATTGGGTACTTGGCTAAATAGTAGCGGGGTGACATGCACAAGGGCTCAGGAAGTGCTGCAGTGATATTTTTAGAAAATGGAAATGGGGTGGACAGTTCTGAACCCGAGTCTCCAGTGAGAACTAGATGAATGAAGTGGTGTGAGAGGTTAGGGAGAGGCCAGAGGCTCTGGGAAGGGCGCCTGGACCAGGGTGGGCAGGGAAGCGCACCAGGATGTGCAGAGAGAGTGCCTTGCACTGCCTTTGCTCCATGTTCAGACCATGGAATGAAATGTCATGCAGGCCATCCAAACAAAGGAGCATCACAGTTGAAATCACATTTGTACGTAGGCTCTAGGAGGGAAGGCTGTGAGTACTGCACAGCACCTTTGGACATGCATTCTTTCTTACATTGATAGTTATAATTAGTAATTTGTATTTTATATTAACAGGTTGTTTTGAAGACTTTGAACTTTGGCTCATTAATAAGGAATCCACATTTATATACATATATTTACATATATATTAGTTATATATAATAAAAATTACAGTGTATTTTTTTATTAAGAAATATTTAACTTGTATTTGGGGTAAAAATGGGAGTTCATAACCCAATTGAGTCAAATGTATGAAAGATGATACATCATGAGCTTTGTAATGTTTTGAACAACCAATAAAAAAAAAAAGAAATATTTAACTAACTATACTAAAAGTTATAGAATACTTGGGAATTTAAAACTCTTTTTCTATCATAGAAAAATCTATGCAGCCCTTAAAATTGGTAACCCGTTATAGTAACATAAAGAACATTTAGCTGAGAATATATTAATAAGCCTTGTGTAGTTTCCCCCAGTGATCTTAATGGTAAGTGTCTTATGATTTTTTCTGCTGAAGGTCAGCAACTGTAATCTCTATCGCCTTGGCAAAAAGAAGGGACTGCCCAGCCGCATGGTGGTGTCTATATTTGATCCCCCTGTGAATTGGCTTCCTCCTGGTTATGTGGTAAATCAAGACAAAAGTAACACAGATAAATGGGAAAAGGATGAAATGGTAAGTTTTTAGTAATTGGAAGTATTTTATTTTTGGTAGCTGGTGAATTTTGTTGTTTTTTGTTTGTTTTCTGATCATGGTATGTTTACAACAGATATTTAATATATTAAATTAATTCTTTTTAAGTAGACCATCTTTTCTGTGGAGGATAATTTCCATTTTTATCTTCCTTTACCAAAGGCAGGAGATTTTGTTATATTTTGACTTAAAAAAAATCACAGCCCGTTAAGTTTCACTTTACTATTATGTATTACAGTTTATTCTAAATCCTTAGCTATATTCCAGGAAATGACTTTCAGTGACCCATGATCTTCAGGCTGTGTGTAGAGTGATTGATTTCAGTAGGATCTAGCTTTTGCACCTTAGGATTTTCTCAGGACTGTTTCTGTTCTTGTGAACTGGGGTGGGGGAGAAATCATCACACATAAAGGTTGTGCTGTCCTGGAGATCCTGAAGTTGTGCTCCAGGAGACTCCATGTAGCACGGCTGCCTGCCCTTGTCTTGTCTTGAAGGCCACCAGAGGGCGGCTGGGGCCTATGCGCTGTGACGCAGCTGCCCAGTGGACAGTGGGAGAGCGCTGGGGCCTCTCCAGCCACACACATCTTCAGGCAGCTTCGTGTCCCAGGTTATCTGCACCAAAGGTAAATTGGCTCATGTTACTTCATTTTTCCCTCAGGCTGATGGCGAGCACACAGTTTTCCAGGTTCTATTTTCTGCATAGCATTTCTGTACGCCTTTCCTAGGACATGTGTTGTAGGTATGTCGTTAGTATTTACAGGTAGTCTGCTCTGTGACTATTCAGTTTATACCTGTTTATTGAGCCTACTTTAACTCATGTAGTGTTTGACTTATTACAGAAATGATTCTTATTTGGAAAAGCATTAAGAGAATATTTTAATGCAGGTTACTTCAGAAAAATCATGTTTGTTATTAATTTAGAAATATGTAAAACCAATAGAAAATGTATAGATTGAGTTTTAGAAAATATGTTGCATTGCTATGAAAAACCTTCCAATAACAGCTGTCGTCTTTATAAATAAACCCTGTTTCATAATATATTTGACTCTTAAAAATTGTAGCATAAAGGTGACCGGCATGTCAGCTTTGTTTTTATTGTTTTAAGATGGAGGTTCTCAATCTCCTTGGGTTTCTGATGGTGTGGCACTTTGGTTCTTGGAGCGCATCGTAAGCCTGGCCCTCCATCTTGGTTTGTGTGACTGGAACTGGCCCTGCATCATGTTGAGGTCTTGTGCCTCGCCACCGCACCCCCCCCCCCCCCTTTACTCCTGCTCTGCGGCAGATGGGGTCAGCTGACACCTTTGCACACAGGTGCCTCCAAGAAGAGAGAGTGGTGGTGACTCAGGTAGAGAGGTGACGTGAACTTTCAGAGAAAAGGGTTCACGCTGATGTTTCCCTTACAAGGTGTGAAGTGCTTTTGGAGAACTTTCTGTGAGGTCGATCCCCGCATTATTCAGATAAAGAATCTGAATACCAGAAGCATGAAAGGACTTTGCCCAGGATCACACTGTTGGTGATAAAAACTGATCCTTTGTGTCCTTGTGTTCTGCTGATTTCAGCTGATTGTGATGCCTTATTAAAGAAACAAAAGGACTTTTTTAATTTTTAAAAAATTATCCAGTCTGATTTTTTAAATTGCATTTTGGCCTATTTTGTCTGAAGAACCAAACAATAGTCAAGAACAGCTCATATTACCTTGGAAAATAGAGCGGTTTAGCAGGAAGTAGTTCCTTGAGGTCTACCACTGTAGTTTTCTTTGGTGCCCTTTCTTACTCTTCAAAAAAAAAAATTTTTTTTAATTTAAAAACTGAAGGATATATAGTTCTAGATATACGGCTTGCCTTACTGTTATTTCTTTTCAGCAAAATCAAGTGTTTCTCTTTCAAACCTGGTTTAAAAGAAAATCTTTGCACTATTTAAAAACTGCTTAGCAGTTTGCAAATGTTTGTCAGAGTACTCTGAAAAGTTGTTACAATCAAAATTGAATCATGCCTTCCTGCCTTTCTCCCCAAAGGAAAGTGGTGGACTTGTTGTTATTTTGTTTTGTTTTCACGCTTAACAGAAATTTGGCATCTTTCTAGCATTGTGAAAAAGTTACATCATTACAAAAGCCTAGCCTATTATTAAGGTTGTCATTCACAAATAAGCTTGTGCCAAAGAAATTGGAATTAGCAAAGATTTTTTGACAGCAATTGGATTGTTGTGTTTCATGTTAGTCTAAATTTTCTATTTTTGTCAGTTATGCTATAATCTGTTACTCTGATTACTGCAGCTCAGAGTGAGAGGAAACACATAATTTCTCAAATTCATAGCTTATTTCAGCATTCGTTTTTATTTGTTAGAAAGCAAAGCAGTTTGGTTCTACATTCTAGCTAATGTGCTTTGATTTGAAGTGGAAGTCAGGAGAAAAACTTTATTATAAAACCCTAGCATATGTTTTTAGTGTTATAAGGTTTTAAAAATAATTTCATTTGTTTTTGTAGTACACATTTACTTAATTGAAATGGTAACGCTTTTCTACATTGGAATTTCATTTTATTAATTTGGAAATTAGTTCACCATGATTTAAAACTTTTGTCAGCCAAGTGGGATATCTCTGTGATCAGCAGATGAGTGCCTGCCTTGTGTGGCCTGCCAGAGTTGAAGTTTTGCAGTGTAGACATTAATTTTAACTTTATATCCATGTTCAGGAGTCTAAACTTAAAGCTTTATACTGGATAAAGGTCATTTTAAAACTTAGAAAATGAACATTCAAAGAACATGTTTTACTTTGTTTATATGATTAAATAACTTATTTTATGTTAATTGAAAACAAATGGTCATGATTTTAAAGTTGCCTTTTAGCATTTGTGGTTGTCATTTGAAATTATCCATAACCCTTGCTTTTATTGAGTTTCAAACCCTTTTAAAAACAGCAGCTATGACTCCCCTCCTTCTCCCCATTCCCTGTTTCAGACAAAAGACTGCATGTTGGCTAATGGCAAACTGGACGATGACTCGGAGGAGGAGGAGGAAGAGGAGGAGGAGGAGGAGGAGGAGGAGGAGGAGGAGGACCTGATGTGGAGGGCTCCGAAGGAGGAAGCCGAGTATGAAGACGATTTCCTGGAGTATGATCAGGAGCATATCAAGTTCATAGATAACATGCTGATGGGCTCAGGAGCTTTTGTAAAGAAGATTTCTCTTTCTCCTTTCTCAACCACTGATTCTGCATATGAGTGGAAAATGCCCAAAAAGTCCTCGTTAGGTAGCATGCCATTTTCATCAGACTTTGAGGACTTTGACTACAGCTCTTGGGATGCCATGTGCTATCTGGATCCTAGCAAAGCTGTTGAGGAGGATGACTTTGTGGTGGGGTTCTGGAATCCGTCAGAAGAAAACTGTGGCGTCGACACAGGAAAGCAGTCCATTTCCTACGACCTGCACACAGAGCAGTGCATTGCCGACAAGAGCATAGCTGACTGCGTGGAAGCCCTGCTGGGCTGCTACCTGACCAGCTGCGGCGAGCGGGCTGCTCAGCTGTTCCTCTGCTCGCTCGGCCTGAAGGTGCTCCCGGTGATTAAGAGGACTGCTCGGGAAAAGGGCCTGTGCCCTGCCCGGGAGAATTTCAGCAGCCAACAAAAGAACCTTTCAGGGAGCTGCGCTGCGGCCAGCCCTCGGCCCTCGGCGTGGAGGGACTTGGAGTACGGCTGTCTGAAGATCCCCCCAAGGTGTATGTTTGACCATCCAGATGCAGACAAAACCCTGAATCACCTGATATCAGGGTTCGAAAATTTTGAGAAGAAAATCAACTACAGATTCAAGAATAAAGCTTACCTTCTGCAGGCCTTCACGCATGCCTCCTACCACTACAACACTATCACTGGTAAGGAGCCCACCTGCGCCCTGTCCCTGCAGAGGAGCCTCTGTGTGCGTCCCATTGTTTGGGCCTTATAAAAACAGCTTGTGCTTGCACAGTCCTGGGCTTAATGTGCTTGGTCAGAGAGGAAGCAGACGAGAACAGAAAGAATCCTTTATTTTCGTCGTCTTGTGGGGAGTAAGAACTGCTTTGTAGCTTTGACAGCTGGGAGTGTGACACTCTGGGTGCTCTCCTAGATGTTGCAGTGTTAGGGAAATCTGAGCCCTACTATTTTGCTGTTCTTTCCCATCTTATCCAAGTATCTTTCTGATGCCCACTCAGTGCTGCTTTTGATTCTTGATTTATTAATATATTCTGCATGTGTTTCCAAATCTTTTTTATTGTTCTTAGTAGACAAAAACATCCCTCTCTCAAGGTCTTAGGGTCTTTTAAAAAATCTGAAGATGAAAAGATTAAAGGAAACTTTTTCACAGGAAGGTTCCATTGCGCTTGCCCTCGTTCTGCCGTCACCTTTCTACTCTGCATTGTCTCTTTCCTCCTCCTCTATCAAAGAGGCTCCTAATCCGTGAGAGTAGAAAGCAGCACAAGTTATTAAAACAAAACTCAGCTTCAGCCTGGGAAACAAAATTTATATTTTGTTTTCTGTATGAAAATAATAAATGCTTGAATCCAAAATATCAAAGCATAAAGTTTGTAGCTTGTATGATTACACTATGTAGATTAAGATGAGATGCAAAATAGAAAACCACAGTATGAAACATTCTCTGATTCTGGACTTGAGGACTGATGTAGGTCAATGGTTTTCTCAGCGGGGGGAGAAGTGGTGCTTGCTCTGTGCTCACTCTGCTGGGCACAAGGCCTGGGTGCCAGCCTGTCCCACTCAGCCCTTGGCTCTTGACTCCATGGCTATTTTGGGACCGGTCACTTCATGTCTCTCTGCCTGCATTCCCGCAGCTGAGTGGATTCCTTTAGTCACCGCTAGCAGGTCAGGACGTAAGCTGGCACTGAAAACTTCACGTTTTGGCAGCCATCCATCCTTGCCCAAGTGCTTTGCTCACGCACACAGCTCCTTCCTCAGTCTCTTGGTTTGTGTCAGATTCAGCATTCTAGTTCCAGTTGAGAAGAGGGTCTCCTTCTGTCAGGAGTGGTGAAGAGTGGTGTCACTGAGCCACACTTTCTGCAGTGTGGGTGAGACACTGCGCAGCGTGGCAGCACAGCATGAGGGGTGGCAGGTGTGTGTCGGATCTGGTGTCGTTGAAGCGGCAGTGTGTGTGGAGACTCTAGAGGGTGCCCAGCTCCTGCCTGGCCAGCAGGTGCAAAGAAGAGCACCTGTTAGATATATCACCTGGCAAATAGCAAATTAGTTTTTTTGGCCACTTGAAGATTTTATGACCCCAATTTATATATATAATAAATTTGCTTTAAATTGTTGTTAAAATTTAATTTTCAGAGGCTTTAGTATGATATGATATAAGTAATTTTCTCATTGAGGAAGATATACAAATAGACGTCTTTAAAACGGGTCTGGGGATCACACCTCACATCAGTTACGTATTCGGAAGGAGAGTAAATGTTGCTGCACAAGCTGATGGTTCCACCTTGGATCCTCGCGCAGATTGTTACCAGCGCTTAGAATTCCTGGGAGATGCAATTTTGGACTACCTCATAACCAAGCACCTTTACGAAGACCCACGGCAGCACTCCCCAGGGGTCCTGACCGACCTGCGCTCTGCTCTGGTCAACAACACCATCTTTGCGTCACTGGCTGTGAAGTATGACTACCACAAGTACTTTAAAGCTGTTTCTCCCGAGCTCTTCCATGTCATTGACGACTTTGTGCAGTTTCAGCTTGAGAAGAACGAGATGCAAGGGATGGACTCTGAGGTCAGTGCCATTTAAAATATGTTGAATTCAGTGTTGAAGAAAGCCATCCCACTAGCAGTCTTGGTAATTTGAGCTCTGACTTAATTGCTGTCCAGAGGGACACCTGAAGGCCAGGGCTGCGCTGTCCACAGGCTACGTGTTCTCAGGGAGAACTGAGAAGTGACTTGCTGTGGTCAGGTGGGCTTTTGGACTTGACTGCCCACACTCTGGGCTGTACAGTACTGAAGTGGAGAGGAGGCGCTGCGGATTGGCAGCCACCCCTCATCAGGCTCCCATGTTTATGCACACTAAAGAAGGGCACCTCCCCCTGCCCCAGAGCAGGCTTGACCTTGGGGAAAGCTCAGGGTGGTTTATGATGCCTTTTTTCTTTTTAAAATGCATCTGAAATATTTGCTAATATCTGAGGTAAGCATCGCAAATACATTCAGTTTTACTTGAAATGGGAAAATCTCATCTGAAAACCAAACTTCTAAGTTTTTAACCATTGGGATTTGGGAAGCATCTCCGGTAGGTTCAGCCAGAGGTCCTCTGGTGATAGAAGGAATTCTGATGTTTGCCCACAGTGAGCTCTCCAGAGCCCTTGTGGGAGAGGGTGCTGCGGAGGCCTTGCCAGCCACCTCCCACCCTCCAGGGTTCATCCCTCTACCCAGGGCCCTGGGAGAGCGCTCCCGTTCCTTACTCCTCTCATTCTGATCCCTTTTGTTTTCTTATTGTATAGGAGTTTATTCTGGACTTTGTAGCTGTCTTAATTGTTCTTGTTTTAATTTGTACCTCCTCTCTTTTCTAATTGCTCCAAACTACTGTTGGGCTGTAGTGAATTTTTTTGCTTTTTGTGAGAAAAAAGTGAACGTAGGTTTTTAAAGCCTTGCCACAGGGTGAGCGTCAAGTGCTGCCTGTACAGCTGCGCCCTGCAGGGAGGGCGGTGGGCAGGCTCCTGTGGGCCTTCCTGCAGGGCCAGCTCTGATGCAGAGCGGGCGCAGCCCAGCCGGGCAGGAACTGTCTCATCCAGGTCCCAGTGTCCCTGCTCCTCTCACTCTTTAGGAATATTGTACTTCAAAAGTGGAAGAATTCACTAAATTAGATTTCTGTTCTCTTTTTGATGCCATTGGGGCACACTGTTCTGTTAGGGTTTGTTCTTTGACTTCCCTTGGTTTATAGAAATGTGTATAGAAGTTACAGACGCTTATTGGGAATGTCACGGTCTGGCTTTTCTAGCTTAATATTTGATCTTAAAGAAGTTTCTCTTTCTCTCTCTCTGTTTCCTCAGCTATAAAAGGAGAGAATTTAACTTACTAAGTTCAAAAATTCCTTTCTATTTCAAAACAATGACATATGAACAGTAAGCACCTTGTTTTTCTAGTTTTCAGCATCATAGAGAAGTTTGTGTGACTAAGTGTCCTCTGTTTATTTCTCTTTCACAGATATTGTGCGTTTATTTTAGAAAAATTAGAAAATATAAGTAAACACAAAGAAAATTAATTAATTAATTCAAGTTGCCTAATTATGCTGCCCCAGAAATAACTAATATTAACATTTTGAGATGTATTATTGCTAATGTGTATAAAAATAAACATGCATAACACATAAAATGGAATAATGTATAGTGTTCTTTTCACTTAATATATTGTAGCTGACTTTCCATGTATTGATTGGCATTATGGTTTTCAGTAGTGGAGTCAAATATGGCTAATTTAGGGTTCTTTATGGTTGCATAGTTAATAGTTTTTAATTAGGACTTCTAGTAAACATGGGTGTTTTAAGAAAAATTCTTGAGGCAGAATTGCATCATAGAATTAGAACTTTTAAAAAGGCTTTTGATACATACGTAAAATTTTAGCCTGTTAATTTGAATATACTGTCAAGTACTCTGTTATAATGAACATTTATTAAGTAGTTTAATGAAAAGAGAGCCTGGAGGGGAAAATCTTCCAGAAAAAAAAAAAAAAAATCTGCCATAAAAGTCCTGTTCTCTTGTTCCCAGAGCAGAGCACACCCTGCCCAGCCTGTCCTCGTTAGCGTCCTGTTTCATCCTCGCCAACCTTCCTGGGGGGAGGACTGTTTCAGTGTGCAATTCTTTGATTATGAGTGAATTTGAAAAAGGGTTTTTTTATACACTTATCGACCTCTAGTTTTGTGCTAAACTTGTTTTTGTTTTAATTTAGAAGTAATTTTTTTCTCCTTTGCTGGGTGTAGATGCTAAATGGGGCAGGGAATTTTCTCCTTTTTTAAATTTTTATTTAAGATTAAAAATGATGTTTGTGGAAAAATCTATCACAGTGTTGCAGGCGATCCATAAATGGTTGGTATTGTTAGCGTTGTTAGAAGTACTAGCTAAGGAAAGAAAACGCGTCTGTGCACTGCCTCTCTGCAACCTTTGGCTTACGTCACTTTCTGTTATAGCTTAGGAGATCAGAGGAGGATGAAGAAAAAGAGGAGGATATTGAAGTTCCAAAGGCCATGGGGGATATTTTTGAGTCACTTGCTGGTGCCATCTATATGGATAGTGGAATGTCGCTGGAGATGGTGTGGCAGGTGTACTATCCTATGATGCGACCACTAATAGGTATTATGGATTCTTTGTTGAAATAAAAATAAAATTTAAAAATGTCTCAAGGATATTACACACATAATTCTTTGATTTTGATTATAGAAAAGTTTTCTGCAAATGTGCCCCGTTCCCCTGTGCGAGAACTGCTTGAAATGGAACCAGAAACTGCCAAATTTAGGTGAGCAAAACAATATGTGTGGAAAATAATTAACTGCCTTAAGAGCAAAGGGAGAAGTTCTTGAAATATCATTAAACAATGATTTTGAAAAATACTGATGCCGTGGCATGCTATTATCCAATTTTCATCTGACTAAACAGCTCTTTTTTTCTTTTTTGTTTTTATAAAGCAAAGCTAAATTAAGGCAGAAACGGCAGCTGCTCTGTCGGCGGTGTGCCCCCGTTTAGCCCTAATGCACGTTTCCTTTGTTCGGTGTCAGCTCGTACCCAGGACATCGGCCTGACAGTGCATACGGAATGCTGACTGACAATGATAATAAATACTTCTGACTTCTAACTCAGGCTGTTTGGGTTTTTTACAGCCCGGCTGAGAGAACTTACGATGGGAAGGTCAGAGTCACTGTGGAAGTAGTAGGAAAGGGGAAATTCAAAGGTGTTGGCCGAAGTTACAGGATTGCCAAATCTGCAGCAGCAAGAAGAGCCCTCCGAAGCCTCAAAGCAAATCAACCTCAGGTTCCCAACAGCTGAAGCCCCTTTTTAAACTTAAAGACAACAACAACAACAAAATAAAATAAAATAACAGAATTAAGGGGAAAATATTTAAATCAAAAAGAATGATTTAAGTTGGTATTGAGCAGAATGAATGGAAGGCAGAATTTAAAGTTTGATAACAAGATAGATAACAGAATAAAACATTTAACATATGTATAAAATTTTTGAAACTAATTGTAGTTTTAGTTTTTTGCGCAAACACAATCTTGTCTTCTTTCCTCACTTCTGCTTTGTTTAAATCACAAGAGTGCTTTAACGACATTTAGCAAGTGTTCAAATAATTATTGACGGTTTTTTGTCTGTTTGTTTTTTTTGTTTTTTTTTTTTTGCGTTTGTCAGCTTTGCCTAGCGTTAGAAGGCCATGGAGCTTAATCCTCAAACAGCCCCTAGAATTCCATAGCGTCCTGAACACCCTTCGGTGCATGTGGTAGTGCCACTCTTGCGGGAGTCCTTGCCCCGAGTGGAGCGATGCAGTCGGCGAGAGGAGGAGCGAGCAGGTGTAGGCTTTTCTTTCCATTTGTGTTGTGTAAGGTGAAGTTCCAGGCGCTGTTGCACTTGATGGTAAGGAGTGGATTGTGGATCAGCATTGGCTGGCATGTTGGTGAATCAAATTTGAGTTTTCGATGCCATGTGGTCCTGCATAAAAAAGGTTCTTGCCTTAAAATTAAAACTTTCATGAATATTCTTTAATTTCTGAACAAACCATTTACATTCCCTTTGTTTTATTATACATTAGATGTTGAGATGGAGTCAGTTACAGCTCACTAGTATAGTTGTTACTACAGGATTACACTAGAATTCCTGTCACATGTATTCCAAAGACATTTTAAAAACCAGAATATGAATTTTTTTAACATCATAATCAAAATGATCTTTGGCTAAATACCCAGTTTTACTAAAAACCTCCCGCTAGGTAGTTCCAGTGATGGGAATGTTTGTGGTGAGTGATTTTGCCCTGTAGGCTGTCGCTCTAATGAAATAACCCTTAGACATATCACACCTGAACTATGCTGCAGACTTTATAACTGGCTGGTGGTTTGTTGCAGAAGCAGACAGAGCACCTTGCTATAGTCCTCTCTCCTGCGTCTCCTGCTGTGCTTTCCAGCGTGGCACGCACTCTCCCCAGAGCTGTGCTGGCAGTGCCACGGGAGTGGAACGTTGGCGATGGTCTGCCGTGACTTTGATACATCTGTGGTTTAGGTCATTGATTTAGGTAAACTAGCTCATTATTTCCATCTTGGGAAAAAAATTTAGGCATTTGCCAGAGTTTCTTTGATTAGACTTGTAGGCACTCTTCACTTCAATACCTCAGTTCTTCTTTTCTTTTGCATGCATTTTCCCCCTGTTTGGTGCTATGTTTATGTATTATGCTTGAAATTTTAATTTTTTTTTGCACTGTAACTATAATACCTCTTAATTTACCTTTTTTAAAGCTGTGGGTCAGTCTTGTGCTCCCACCAAAATACCAGTAGAAGTTTGCTGCAATTTGCCCCATTAATTATGCTTGAAGTTCAAGAAAGCTGAGCAGAGGTGTCTCGTATTTTCCAGCACATCGTTTTGAAGTCGATGCTTCATGTAATGCTGCATTTACGTTTCAATTACATTTGGATATTTTTCTGCACCATCCACTCGCAGAGAAGGACCTCTGCCCACACACACAGCAGCTTTCATACTGCTTCATACTCAGCCCCAAGTGAAGGGGATGTTGAGCTTCTCCAGTGTATTTGTTGTCTTAATTTGAGATCTAAATTCTTAGAGTTTTTGAGCAAATTAATCTAAGTGACTGATTTTAAAAATAATTCTGATGTACAAACCTTGGATGTCTATTTGATTTAAAAAAAATATATTAGGTGCGATAATATTAGGTAAAACCAAGCGATTCCTGAATTATATAACTATGAAAGTGTACAGGTAACAGGTGAGGCTGGATATGAATTTTACTTGTGGGATGATTTGTGGTCATATCATGGCTCTCTTGATAATTTATAAACTACCTGATGCCAGGAGCTTTGGGCTTTGCATTGAATCTGATGCATTTATCCCAGTGTTAGGGCGTTCTCTGGCTTCTTGGCTTTCAAATCAGATTGTTTCAGTCATGATTCATTGAAAATGCCTCAATGTATTTTGTAACCTTAAGAAAAATATTTTATGATCATACTAAAAAAAGTTCAGACTCGCATATGATTAGGCCATACATTCTCAGGGGCACGAATTTCTTGCTACTATTCAAAATGTTTTATCAACAGCAAACATGAGCTACTACTATTACTGCCCCTCTTTTTTTTCTTTGGAAAAAAAGAGCTGATATTAACAGTTTGAAGCATTCTATGATCCCCTGGTGACTAAGTAAAAAATAAATGAACAATATTATTTAGACACATTAAATGGTTATGAACGCTTTTGTGCTGCTGAGTTTTCATGCTGTCAAGTTTTCCCCAGTTTAGTTTGTTGACATGTTTTGCATCTGTCAATTAAGAAAAAAGTCACTCTGTTGCCCCACTTTAAAACTGTGTGTGCATCTTTTGCCCCTGCAATGGCCATGGGGGCAGAACATGCCGTGGAAACGGGCTGGTGAGTGGGGCTGTCCCCGGCACATGATAATGGACCGCTGAGGTGCCGCTCGGCAGAGCCACTGCAGGAACCCTGATGGTGTGCAGGTCGGTTGGCATGGACCTTCACTGTAAATGTCTCCTTTCTTTCATGATACACTTTCTGCAGTCCTGACTATGCTGCGTTTTGAAGAGCTTTCCCCCTCTGTTCTGTTCATGCACAGATGAGCGTTGCACTTGGTACATGCTTTACCTCATTTCAAGGAGAATATGCTTAACTGAGAGGAAAAATGTGGTTTGGCCTTGCTGCTGTTTTGATTTGCTGAATTTGAAAAAGATGATTATAATGCCTGCAATGTGTCATATACTTGCACAACTTAAATAGGTCATTTTCGTCTGTGGCATTTTTTACCATTTGTGAAAGTATTGCAAAGATTTGTTAACTGAACTCTTAATTATGTTTTAAAAATGTTTGTTACATTTCTTTTACATGTGTGAAATGATTAAGTTTAGAATGACCTCTAACACTCCTGTAATTATCCCTTAAAATACTTCTATTTTTACTTTCTTAATAATAATAGCCTGCCCTCAGAAAGATTCGATGCTCTGCCTGCGGAGCAAGAGTCTTGATACGGCTCTGGCTCTGCGTGTCCAGTTCCCAGCTGCAGTTGCTCACCCGCAGTCGGCTCTTCCAGTCGTTTCCTGGCAGTGGGTGGTGGCCGCAGAATACAGAGAGTATTCAAGACCCGGGCCCACCCCACCACACTCTTAAGGCCCTGTTAATGTAAAACTCTGTATCCTGCTCGGTTAGGGCATCTAATCCTTTCCCGCAGAAACGAAGGCCAGCAGAGACTGGCGTCTTTATTTACCTGTGTCCGAGTCACGTTTGAGTCTGTAGCTGGTTTACAGTTGTCCGTGGAGGAGGAGCTCATGCCGTGTGTACCACCCGTGTGGTTTTTTTAATCACATCTAAATAGGTATATTTTTCCAGCCACTGATTGCTTTTCTGAAATTTAATTATTTCCAAATAAATTTTCTTATTTTATATTGTACATGAGAAGTTTTAAAGATATGTTTAAGACCAAGAGTAGTAAAATGACTTTAAAAGTTGTTGGAGGTGCCAGTAGCAATATCTAGGGAATTTGCATTGAGACCATTGTATTGTCCACTAACGGTGAAAATGAGCTTTCAGAACTAACTTGTAAATATGTTTTCATCATTGCTTGTTTTTTTTTCTATCCATATTTGGACGTCAACCACAGACAGTTTAAATTTTGTAGATGCCCTCAAAATTCACTGCAGCAGCAGGTTATATAGCAAAAATGCAAAGATGAACAGGAGGAAGATCTCTGCCTTTTCTGCTGTAAATAGAGTAAAGGAAAATGACTAAAATCAAGTAATACTAATACATCATTTCATTGACAATAGAATCTTCACATCACATGCTGCAGCTGTTTTTTAAGGAACATGATGTAATTCTTTCATAGTAATCATGCTGCAGAAATTTGCAGTCTGCACCTTATGGATCACAATTACCTTTTTTTGTTTGTTTTTTGTTTTCTTTTGTAATAATTGTAGCCAAGTAAATCTCCAATAAAGTTATGGTCTGTTCACTTTGTGTCCTTTTATCTTTTTCCCTTCCAGTTTTGACTTACTTCATGTGGATGATAACATTTAAATAGTGGTAGCAGAAATGTTTTAAAAATGTTTGAATTCCCTGGTGAATCATGTAAGAGTCCATATTTTCACAGGAGGAAATTTGGTTCATCAAATTATGCTTCTTGTCTACCAACAGAATTATATTGTAACAATTGTCTTTTTGCAAGTGTGGTTTTTTCTGAAATTATGTCACAGTTGATTAACGTGTTCCAGGTCCTGGATCATTGGTGATATGTTTGACACATTGCTTACGTGAAATTAGTTATTCTGAAGCACAGTGGACAGAATGTTCAGCTTCCAGGTTTTTAGGACACATTTTCCATATTATCTATTAAGAAAGAATTCTATTACTTCAAGCTTGTGAGTCAACCTCTTGGTAAGTAATCTAAGCGCGAAGGGGCAATCACTTGACTGTAGGAAGATGATAGGCAGATGTTTTATAGAATGAGAAAAAAATTTTTAGTCTTCCCTTTTGCAAGTTTAAATTAATCCCTTCCTAATCCCTCCTGGTGGCCCTAAACCAAAGGAGAAGAAAGTATATGTAGTTCAACCCTAAGTACTTGGGGAAGTGCTGCGTGCCTGTGTGTGCTGGTGTTCCTGCCCAGAACACACTGGATGGTCCTGCCCAGAACACACTGGATGATCCGGCCGAGCCTCGTGGCCTCATCTCCTTTCTGCCACTGTTGACTGTGACTTCCAGAGACGAGCAGTCATTCCCTTCTGTGGCTTCCGGGACCAGCAATATCTAACAACCACACCACGGGATCACTTTGCAAATCGAGATGTGAGTGAAAAGATTCAAAATGGAATTGGAATGTTTTTGTGTGTGCAGATCCATGACCGCAAGGCAGGTTTTAGATGGAGGTGGATCCCAGGTCACAGCCAGCTCAGCTGTGTGCAGACCTTCAGGCCAGGAGGATGCTTCCTCACCATCTCATTTTAACCCCT